CCCGGGAGCACATTCACAAGATTGGAATCTGTTTACCACTGATGCAGCACAGATGGAAAGACCAGATAAGGTACTGTACCATGTATTCAAATTATAAAACTCAATATGTGAAATGGTAATCTTCTATCGGGAACGACAGGCAAAGGGGCTGGAAGCAGCCATGACTAATTTGTAATTAGGTAAGGTATGTTGCGAAAATGCTGCAGTAAAATTCCAATTTAATCTCTGAATTACTATAAACAGGACTGAATTATCCTTATTCATCTGTGTAACTGAACTGCGATTCAAATTTTAATACATCTATAGAGTAGCAAAGTCTCAACAACTCTGTAATCACTTGATGGATCACATTCGCAAGTTGACAAGAAAACCAATTTTCCCCCCCAAGGCATATTGTCCATGCAAAAATTTATACCTTTATAAGTTGTACTACATACATGTATATTTGTAGGTAAGTGCATGTATTCCTGTATCCGGATTCATTCTTTGACTTTTCATTCAACTCGACAAGACATGCACAGCATTTTTGGTAACTGCTTAACAAGAGCTTCTACCCATCTTGCCACTTGATGGCACATTTGAGCAAACAAACTGATTCAAAGTGCAAACAAACAGATAATACCCAGTCAATGCAGGCTGATATGTGATATGACTGACATTCAAAGTTGTACATTCTTCTGAATTATAAAACACTAAACAGGTGGATGATTTCATCTCGAAAGGGCAATCTCAATGAACACTTCAAATGAGGTGCCATAAACGTTCCAAAATATCCTGATATGGACTGGACATTCTGAACCCTTTTACGCAGCACTGAAAAAAATTTAGGCTCATGAATCATCAGAATAAAATGCTGATGGGTCATCATTTGAAGTATAGATATATGCCAATCCAACAGATGAAATATGTCCATGCAGGACCTAATTTGTAAAAATCTAGGAGAGGTGTGTACATGTACTCTACGTCCTTGTACGATACATTGCACATGTACATGTATGTTGTAACACTTGTCACTGCATATCGTATATTTTACACAAAGGAACTGTGCGTGCTTAAAATGCTGGATGTACATGTACACGAATGAAGGTGGTCTCTCTGAGTTCCTCATCATAAAGAGCGCTGAAACATTTATGCTTACCATTACCTTGCTGGAACTGCACGGGATCAACGTACTTCACAACTGATGCAATAAAATGGTTGGCTGATTAGTGATCAGCTAATGCAGACTTTTGAGCTTCCAGATGGTTAATGACATCCTTGTCTGACAATTAGAGGGCATTTTCCATGGAATCTGACTAATTTCAAGCGCTGTAAATGTACAGATTCACAGAAATGTCCTGTAAGTCCCCCCTCCCCTAAATCAACACTCCCTACATTGCACTGCACAGATCTGAATAGCTTTTGGTGCCAGTATTTAAATCACAAATGCCTAGTTTTCTCTGTGAATGATTTTGCATTTTATATATGTAGTTAATTTGGCATTTTTATCAGTCAATGAGAGATGGGAATGGTAGGTTATATAAATATCCAGACTAGGATAGACACAATGATTGCATTTGCCTATGACAGAATCCACTTTCCTATGCAAGTACTGTACATTCAACGGAGAAATCTGTGGCACTCCAGTGGCACATAAAACCACACTGCCAGAATGTACATGTACACTGTGGGTTGAATGGCATCCACACCAGCCTTCGGGTGTTTGGACAATGGATTTAGCCATTTTCATCACTATTCCAGTGAATGAAACACCTGGGAATTAAGGTTTCCAGGGTCCCAGCCACTATCAACCTGGGAAATACCAACCAGCACACCCTGGTGCATGAGTGCAGAACCAATCACTGTGCTGAATTGACTTACAAAAAGAGAAGGCTTCGATTTTCCAATGATTTCTAATTTCTGTCGATTAAATATTTTAAGTAAGTATGGGTACATGCATCTACATGTACATTGTACATGTTCATGTAGTGGTACTTGGAGTATGGCTATGGGTACATATACAGTGTACTGTGCATGTAATGCCACAGGTGCTAATATATGAGAAAACCAATCCCATCCATTTGTCTCACTTTGGTATTTCATTGAGTGTCCCTGTTAGGGCCCTTCATTATCATTTTACACCTTGGCTGCCCTCCTGCGGCTTTCAAGACAGAAACGCGACACCAAAAGTGTGCTGATTAATTCAGAATGAGATTATTTCTGAAGGAGCCCCAGCAGGGAGTGGAGTGTGCCTATGCTATGTAACACAATGCTGCAAGGGGTGTGCACTGCCACCTTTATTATTACACAGGTCTCTGGTCTGTGGTGCTCTCTTTTGACTACTTGGGTTGCGGCTGGTGACATTACTGTTAGAGAACTCCCATAGTTCATGCAGAAGCACTCCTTGCCTGATTGGGCACCATTGATATTTAAATGCACTGCACTATCTGAAGGGTTGATCACACACACGCATGGGTTCAGAGGGGACTTGGCTGACTCACCCTGTCATTGTGCAAACTGCATGGCCTGTGGCTTTTTCCCCACTATCAGTGTGTCAAATGGACATTTGGCGCGATTAATGGACCCAGTACCATCTCCACAGCTTAATCATCAACCAAGGAACTTTGATTATGCAATTGGGCATTATGCCTTAGAAGGAGAGGTTGGACAGGCCAGTGACCCTCATAACCTTCAGTGTGTCAATCAAACTAAGAGTAAATAACTGTGAAATTAATCTATGGGTTGATGGTGTATACATGTACTGACACATACATGACACATACATTACATGTATGTTTGTACGAAAAGTGGGAAAAGAAGCCTCTAAACAATGTACAGGTATGTACATGTGTATCACATTGCACCCTTTCAACTGTTGCTCTGAAATTCAACCCTGCCAGATATTTTTGTCAGTTGTGCAGTATTGATAAAAAAGCGTACTCTTGCTTCCCATTGTAGTGTTAACTTGCACTTTTGACAGCGGACTACAGTTGGTCAGTAACGTAGGCAGGCCATTTATAGCCAAAGAATTGCGAGGCCAGCCAGTTCATAGTGTGACAAAAATCACGCTGCCTTCAAAGTAATTCCAGAAATTAGTCAAATGGCTCTTACTAAGTTACTTGCTCTTCATTAGAAAGACATTCTTGACAGTTTTATTTTAGCAGTGGTAGCACTAACCGACTCTTCAGGGACACATCCCTGATAATTGTAGAAAGTCTTGAAAGTATGTATTTATTTTTCAGTCATGACTAATTTCCTTACAGATTTCCTTACAGATCCTATTGACAATGATTTTACATAACACAACTGGTTAATGGCAGAAGTGTGCGTATGCAGACATTGTATTATGCTCAAGTGTATTAATAGGATCTGTGCGTTTAAACAAATACTGTATGTAGGTAAATGGCAAAAGCTGATCAGTGCGAGTGACTCATTTGCATATAACTTAATAAGCCATGCACACATAGCCAATTGTGGCGTGCGCGATGTATGTGGCCTAGTTCCACACTGCCAGAAATCTATAAAAGGCGTGTGCAACCAGCATTCGGGTGGCTTGGTTTTTACGAACAAGTCCCGCGTGCAGAAGGAACAGCTTGCAAGTGCCGTATGTTCAAGGCTGACCAGTGCTGCGTATGAAGTCGGCAAAGAAGTCCGTGAAGACTAATTAGCTTACAAGAGCTGAGAAGATTTAAGTCGGCAAAGAAGTGCCATGAAAATAATTATAATCAGTCGGCAGAGAAGTGCCGTGAAGTTTATTGGTTAGCGTCTTTCGAGATCAGCATAACAGCTACGTGTGTTTGCACAAGTTAGTTTTGACCAGCCGGCCCAGCCTAATTACCGAAGCACGTGTAGTAACAATTACTCCTGCAGACCAGCATTTTAGAACGCGTAATAAGCTAGCTGCAGCAACCTGAGTCACTCATTCTGACCAGCAAGTGGGGTGAACTAAATGTAAATGATTCTTTTGATGTAAATGTGATAGAGACACCCAAGCAATTTCCGAAATAAAAGAGATAATTTTGAGTAGTGTTCTGAATACAGAAGCTGTTTCCTCAAGTACATCTCTTCATGGTCTGTCACTTACTTATATGAGCGCCTGCACATTTTTATTAGTTGACTGCTTCTTCTTCTAATGGTGAAACCTTCCTAGTGAGCCTGGACTGCCTCAACCCCTCCCCAACCCTTCGACCCTGCATAACTAGGAAAGTTGGTTGACACTTTGGATTTCTCCCCCTCTCCCTCACTCATCCCTGCCCTTCCCCCATCAACTGACTGTGACTGAGACTACAGACAGCAGGCAAGACAGCCGTAAGTACACATGTACAGTGGATACATGTATATAGGCCAGGTTCTCATCATTCTCTGACTCAACGGGCCCCTCACCCATTACAAAATTGTTGCATTGTGATGTACTCGGTTGTTATCTCAAAACGGATGAAAGACAACAATGTGGAAGTGGATTAATGAAGATCACGTTTCTGTCAAGATGGAAGACAGAGTTGCCTGATACGTCAGGGCGTGTTTACCGAGTGCAGTGATAAATAGTGACCAGGTCAGGGCTTGCTTTGGCGAGTGACTGCTGTGTTTGTTCTGTGAGCAATTCAAATAGTGAATCTTTCCGTAGTTGCTGAAATGCGGATGTGGGTTTCCAAATCACACAAAAATCCTGAAAATGAATAAACACACCCTATTTTACACTTTTTCTTTTTTTTCTGGCAGTAAATATTTCAATCTAAATGTGTGCAATTTCTTATGCTCTAATCTCATTATTTTGTGTTTCTTACTTGTACAGTATGTATGTATTGTCTTTTAGCTATATTTGTAAAATATGTAAAACATTGTGCAATTCGGCCGTGAGGCTGTGATATGATGTTTTTGACATAAACCATTTAATAATAATAATAATAATCTGAAATACATGCCACAAATGACAAGGAACATTTATGATCTTCCTAGTCTACTAAAGAAAAGCTGAACTGAGTTTTAATCAAACCATTCTATCACAACAATAGATCGCTTACCTCCATTGTCAATTGTGAACCATCCCAGTCCACTTCCATCCTTGATGGAGTAGGACACAGATCCATCCATGCCTGTATCCCGATCCACAGCTGTCACTCTCATCACCTCTGTCCCAATGGTTGCATTCTCCAGTACTGTCCCTTCATCATAGAAGCTGTTAAATGTTGGGGTGTGCCTGTTCTCATTGACATCAACAACCTGGACAAAGACGTGGCACTCAGACCTGTTTGCTGGGGAGCCATGGTCACGGAGATTGATCAAGATGTCGTAGATCTGAACCGATTCATAGTCTAGTTCGGAGATCAGACGCAAGGTGCCATACTGTTCATCAATGGCAAATGTGCCTGTTTCATCTGTAATGCCAAAGGTGACCTGTCCATTTGGTCCTTCATCAGGGTCCAGTGCCTGGACGGTCATGAGGACTGTGCCAGTGGGAAGGTCCTCCCGCATCCGGACACTGAAGATGTCACGCATGCATCGAGGTGGGTTGTCATTGATGTCCTGGATGGTCACTGTGACCATGGTTGTACTGGACAGTGGGTTACTGGTGGCCATGTCATTGGCTTGAACCTTGATTTTGTGAACTGGAGTAAGTTCCCGGTCCAAGGACTGCGTGACACGCAACTCACCAGTGCCACTGTTGATGGCAAACTGCGGCGAGTCACTAACAATGCTGTAGCGGATGTCCCTGTTCCTGCCAATATCCCTGTCACTCGCGTGAACTGCAAGGAAGACCATTCCAGAGTATGTGTCCTCAGACAGGTCGGCATCATACTGGGTCTGATCAAACACTGGAGCATTGTCATTGACATCTTCGACGTTAATGGTGATATGACGCTTTTCTGTACTCCTGGGCTGGCCCAAATCTGACACTTTGATTGTCAGTGCATAGCTTGAGTCCTGTTCTCGGTCCAGAGGTCTGAGGACCCGAAGTACACCGGTTTCAAAGTCCATCTGGAAATGTGAATCATCATTTCCATCAGAGATGGCATAGATGAGCTTTCCATTGAAGCCAGGGTCCCTGTCTGATGCTTTCACAAGGACAACTTCATTACCCACTGCCACATCTTCCCTAACCGAGATGATGGTGGGGAAGTCGTCATCAAATTGAGGGTTGTTGTGGTTTGCATTGTACAGCTCGGCAAAATCTACATCAGGGATGTCCTCAGACAGGCTCATGTCCTCCGTTCTCCTAAGGAGAAGATCTCGGATATCAGTCAGCGCAGAAGTAGACTTGCACCTGACTTTGGAGTCTCTGACATGTGCACCTGGGTTGATGTTACGATTGTTGTTGATGCTGATGTTGGTATACATGTAGCTGGCAGAGTTCTCACCGTCACTTGCCATGATGCGTAAGCTGTAAAACAGTCCATCGGTGTCCTCAATTTGTCTCCTCAGTGTCAAGTTACCAGAAGCTGGGTGCAGAGCAAACAGGTTCCCTGTGTTTCCAGACACAATACTCAGCTCTCTTTCATCTCCATCAAAATCAATTGCCGAGATGAGTGCAATACTCTCCCCAGGAGACAGAGTGCGAGATATGGTCCCAACACAGTCAATTTTTTCAAACCGTGGGCGATTGTCATTGATGTTCTGGAGACGGATTGTCACAATGACCTCAGACTCACGCCGGAACGGTGCGCCCCAGTCTGAAGCCCTGACCCGAAGTCTGTACTCCCGTCTCATTGTTTCATAGTCTAGTATCTTGCTTGTATTGATGAAGCCTGTCATGTGATCGATGGTGAATGGGACAGGGTTCATGTTGGCTAGACTGTAGGAGATGAAAGCATTTTCACCCAGGTCCTCATCTTGAGCAGTGACTTGCACAACGGGCGTATGCGCAGCTAGATTCTCTTGAATTTCAACCTCGTAGGACTTCTGGGCAAACTCAGGGTTGTTGTCATTAGCATCCAGCACATTCACAACAACATAGGCCACGGCTTGGCTCTCTTGAACCGTACCATAAACTGTGATGTCATACACAGACTTCATCTCCCTATCTAGCTCTTGCCTCAAGCTGATATACCCTGTGCGCTCGTTGATGGAGAAAACTGGAGATTTGCTTTCAGCCAGGGAATAACTTATAGTGAGGCCTAAATCTTCATTTTCAGGAGCCACAGAGATGAGAGGTGTGTTGATTGGAACCAGCTCAGAGATAGAGATATTCATCAAACGACTTCGGAAAAACATTGCATGCTTGTAGGTTCCAGATATCTTGACTGGAATGACCTCTGTTGCTGTCTTGGGTGGATTTCCTTGATCCGAGGCCACTATGGTAAGGTTGAAGTCGGTAGGAGAGGGGCCCTTGAAACTTAACTGGGTCTTAATATGGAATATTCCCCCTTCATTTACAATTTGGAAGTACTCCTCGGGATCACCATCTACGATACGGACATCACTTATCTGGCCGTTTCTGCCATCATCTTCATCACTGACCATGATGCTGGCGTAGACGGTGCCAATCTCACTGTTTCGTGACAAATGCATCTGCATTTGAACTATCATGACTGGGGCATGCTTATTGACTTCCTCAACGTCGACTCGTAGAGTGGCCTCAAAGGGAGGAGCCATGTTGTACGGCATCATCCCTCTGTCCTTAGCAATGATGATCAGGCTGTACTGGGATGTCTGCTGATAATCCAGGGCCCTGGTGAGAGTGACCACACCGCTGGTGGGATGGATGGCAAACTGGTCAGTCCACCTCTTGAAGCTGTAGTACACCTCCCCATTGGTGCCCGAATCAGCATCTGTGGCTTCCACTGTGATGATACTGGTTTCCACTGGCATATTCTCAGGAACAGACACTGAGTAGCTTCGCTCTAAAAACAGGGGCCGCTGATCATTGGCATCAGTGACCCTGACGACCACAGTGGTCTGGGCGGTGACAGGGGACTGGCCACGGATGCGACCCGTCGCCTTAACCCGCAATCGGTACTCCGCCTTTTGCTCTCGATTGATGACACTGGAGCAGGCCTCATCTTTGCTTTTACAGGGAATGGTGCGGATCCTGAGGAACACAAAGTCCCCCACCCTCTCATCAGTGGCTCGAAAGAGTCTATCCTCATCCAGTAATATGTATTTGACTCCAATGATATCTGAATCCAGTGGGACATATATACCGGTCTTTGGCTGTGTTGTGATGTAGGTTCTGACTTCAGCATTCTCAGGGATGCTTGCATTGTACAGTGGCTCGGTGAACTGGAAGTTGTAAGTGGGCTCTTGTGCTGCAGCAGTCCATAGTACAAGGAACACTGTGAAGAGTACAGTTGCAGGCCGAACAAGCTTAACCATTACAGCCATGGCTAGTACATCACCAAGTGGGCTCTGGGAAAAAGAAAGATCCAGGGGGAAATTAATCATTATGAAAAATATTCAAACATTCTTCCCTTTTACATGTACAATATATTCAATAGTATTTTAAAACACAAATTTAATAAAATATTTGCATAAAACTTTATGAAGATACAAACATTATTCCCATAGTATTTCAAAGTAACCTATTTCCATTCAAAACAAACAGGATTCGACACAGACTTGCTATTTCCACTTTAAAATAACCTCTTACAACAAGCCAAGCAAAAATAATGCTCTTTCAACCAAAAATCAAGGTAGAAATCAGACAGCAAAGAAATCAAAGGCTAACTTGCTATCACAGCACAGGAGTGGCATGTGCACACAACAGTAGCAATTTTGAGGACTAAAGTGAGGCTGCTATGCCTGCAGGCACTGTGACCTCAATGACCCAGGATGGAGGGCTGGAAAACCCTAAGTACCAGGTGGCTGACTGGCTGTGGTTTGAGGAATTCCCTCAGAAAGGACAGGAAAGCATGCTGATCCACAAGGGAAGTAATTGAGCATGATTATTTCCTGGGTTCCTAAGCTCAACAATTTGCAAGAGATGATCACAAAAATTACATCAGCCTTCAGCAAGGAAAAGGGAATCACTTTTTAAAACCCATCCAGGGTGTACCAGTACGTGTACAAATATTTTTAACAATTTCTAGCTACTGCCCAAAATGATTTTGATTCTTTTTGCTGCTACGACTTTGGAAAACACAAAAAAAGTGACAAACATATTTTCAAAGCCTGCCCAAACCACATTTATTGGAGTCAATCTTGCCTCAATACCCACCCTGTGGTTTTAAAGGTCAAAAACCATGTGTGTAGACACTTGGGCCCTTTACTCCATTTGGGATTTTTTTCCTTCAATAGCCAAGAGCTAGGTTGACTGGAATGGGCAGAGAAGGCATGGGCACTGAGCTGTACATGTAGGGACGTGATTGGAACAAGTCCTGGAATGTAACCCCCTGATGGTAAACCCAGCGTCAACTTCCTACACCACACAGTGGCCCGGTGGCTAACGTAGAGATACACAAATTCTTCCAAGATGCGTCCTTTTTCTCTCATTTCCACTTATACCGTGCAAGCCTAGCACAGGGATGTTTAGGGGTTTCATCATCCTGGAATCGATCGGACCCACGCCAAAACCAGCAGTGAGGAAAACAGGAGGATTAACTCGGCCACTCGAGCAGAGCTGATCCCCCTTCAGTTGGGACGATTGATCAATATTTTTGGTGACAATGACCGGCACAACTCGCCTTTAACTATACCTCTATGCATCCAATGGGGCGCATTTGAATGGACCATCCTAAGAATATTAAGTGCAGTAAAAGCCATTGTGATATCACATCAGTGGATGATCCATATTCAATGAGGTGTTCAACCCCTAGGGACCACTGAAATCCTTCATAACCTTGTTGGGTTCAGCATGGTTAGGGTTAAGGTGGCGGTCTAGTAAACAATTCCACAGGGAGGAAATCTACACATCCCACATGCAAGTCAAATAATAAAAATAAAAAAAAAATCAGATAAACCTTTTTGAAATTTACTACTGTACAGTGCAAGTATGAAGTTCTCAGAACTGAGAACATTTCACTATTATGTCACAGTCAATGATATAATCTGCCCCTCTGAAGTACCATACAGTACACGATGTTATAAGCTTGTATGAATACAACTGGGTAGATAAGGGAACAAGTCAACAAAAATAATATTTAACAAGGAGAACTTAATTGGAGGTAACTGTGTTTGGTCCAATGTAATGTGCCCAAACACTAAGTTTACTGAAGGTACATGTGGGCAATGGACAAATGCGCATATTCTGGTTTTAACTGTTCAATCCAACCCCACCCTTCAAAAACCTCTAGATACACAACTACTTCTACACATGTGTTTTTAAGCTGAAGAGCTGCAAACATAATGCTTTCACCAGACAGGGATGAACATACGTTTACTTGTAACAACACTGAACATTCCTAGCAACTGCAATTCAAGAGAGACCCAGCAGGATACACAAGAAAAGCTGGAGAATGTCTTTCACAGTCCAATGACCAAGGCAAGCCGTGTGCCGCACAGAGATTCCTAGCAGCACCTTCATGAAGTGACTATTACATGTGTATGGCCTGACAAATGGGAACCATTAATAGTGAAAGTGCAGTGTCCAAGACCTTAATGAAAAGTTTACTTTTTAAGCTTAAAACACCAATGTAAGCCCCTAGAGTCAAAAATGTAAAATGACAACTAGCTACCAACTGGCCGAAGGATCTTGAGGATATTAAGTTCTCCTGTTTGTTCTGAAGAGCAAGGCCAAATCCTTTGCGATGAAACATTAATAATTGCATTTAATATTTTCACTCAGTATTTTATGCAACTCAACTCAAGTGTGCATAAGTTTGAATAATGTTCATGTACCTGTATAACTGAGGAGATTCCAAACTGTGCCATTCCAAACTCAAAAAAGACCATGCAATATCAAAATGCATAATTTTAAGACAGCAGTTTTCAATATTTGCGATTCGCAATAGTGCCCACCAAAGAGTTCGCAATGCATTGACCAATCACAGTGCACGAAATCTGTCGACCCAATGCACGATTGGAAAGGTTTGACAGATTTCGTGCACTGTGATAGGTCAACATGTTGCAAAGTCTTGGAGGTGCACTATTGTTAATTGACTCATGGAGAAATAAAATGATTGACTGTATTTTCTGTAGTTTTGGGCCACAATCTCTGTCAATCAAGTCAGGACGAAAAAATGACGTGAAACAAAAATTGTTTGCCTTTGACAAAGATTCTGCTAGGATCGAAACGTCAGGCCCTCCATATTTTATGATTAGGCCTACTATAAAAATTGTTAGAAAATACTTTTTTTTTATTTTTCATTATTTCCCACTAATTTTGTACACACCCAACATATGTAGGGTCTACATACGTTTAACCGTCTTTCCAATAAAAAAATACCAAATCCCAAAAATACTGAACAAAACCACTGTCAGCTCATACATGTACCATGCTCACACGCGTGCAAGGCAACAACTGGCATTGTGCGGACCACAGCACTCATTTCACCGTCCAACTCTTGACAATTCACGGTCCGGCGCAGCGACGAGACTCACTCCGCACTCGCAAGCACAACACTGACAAACAGTCACAAATTCAACAAAATAATGACAGTATACCTACCACTACCTGACGTTGTCCGGCATCATTTGATAGTATTTTGTCTCCGATAGACTGTCCAAGAACGCGGTAAATAATCCAATATTTTTGACCGGTTCTCACGCATTCACGTCACTTCCAGAACTGAACGGTGACAAATTCCATGCATGCATGGCCAGCACGGCATGGGCAAGATGTGCGGTTTCGATAAGGCATATCCAGCTGGTGCCGTAGTGCCGCTCTTCATCCGCTCTTTATTAATGTAATCCCAATTTTGTCCCTCTTTTTGCATTAAAATAACTGAAAATGATGAATATTCTTGTGACGTACTATACACAAATGTTTTGAATATATTTATATGTTGTTTCTTTGTAAGTTGAACGTGTTAATTGTTAACTGGATGGCCTTTGAAATGAGGCTGCGGATTAATACTTGATGAATAATTTATTATCGGTGGTCTCGGTAGCGACCAATGGGCTTGGTATTAATCGCCTAACCGGAAATGCAAGTGTATACAAGTTTCTTACGTGAGGTAGTTCCCGGTGCTACAGGTCTTATACAGGTGCAGCCACATTGTACTGTACATGCACAGTATGCGTGTGCTGAGGCGGCACGTGCCAAGACTGAGGAGAATGATTGGTCTGACCTGGTCCAAGTATTTTAGGACTCAAAAGCGATTTGTTGTCGCCCGACTATGTCCAAATGTTACAGAAAGGCCATTTGCTTGTACTTGGTCTTGGCAAAGATTTTGGCCCGGAATTTTGGCGTCTGATTGAACTGGATACTATTACTACAAAATCAAGCACAAGCGGGCTGCTTTTTTCTCTTTCTTTACGCCCTTGTAGTGCAGTGCTACTATAATTTAACATGCTGAAAGTTCAATTTTCTTGTTTCTAGAGGAGGGAAATTAACAGGTCATACACCTCTCACACATTACATTTTGTTGAAAATATGGACCCATTTAGGCCCTAGTAACTGAGCTGCTGACGGTCTGTATTGAGGTGGCATGATGACCGCTGTTCCTTTTTTGCTTTTTACAGATCGCATCTCGAGATTCTGTGTATAAGCACTAATCAGGGTGAATAGGTAAAGGGGGCACCCTTGTAATCTGCTGTTCCGGCTTGGATAATCATTGTGATGGATACGCCGATGAGGATTAGGGTTAAGATAATAGGGGCAATAAAATCTTTTCGAGGTCAAATAGTTTAGACAAAACAGAAAACTTAAACTACTCTTCCCGAGGTCAGTGCACAAGAGCATGATAAGAAGAAAATCGTCAAACATATGAACCCTCCCAACAAAAAAAATGACCTGGATTGTGGTTTTTAAGTCCCATACGGAGGGGGAACTAAAATTATGAAGTTGGCAAGAATTGTACATGTACAACTGCGATTAGATTGCGTCACATCCGTCTACAAGTAGAGCTCACTCAATTGTGTGGGTATATGCAAATTGTTTTAGCTCAAATCTGGTGGTATCATTAAAGCTTGGCCATGGCTTGACGCAGTCAGTCCATGAAGTATGGGCCATTGTAGTATGAAGACCGCAAAAAAGTTAACCAACAACGCACGAGGTTCGCCGCAACCACACCTATACCGAAGGTTTATCAATGAAGAAATTTCACCAAATAAAGTGGAAAGCATTTTGGACTTTTCACCCTCGGTTGAGGTTTCAAAGTACTACATGTACATGTATGTTGATTTTGAAGCGTGCAGGAGTGAATCATGTTAATTACTGACAGAGATCTACTAGGTAAATGAGATATTCTGGGGTAGGGGGTGCAGATTTCTTGATATGAAGGCATGGTAAAGGTAAATATATTCATGTGGTTTGAAACGTGGAGGGGGAAAGGTATTAGTCATGGCGGACCAAACATTTTGAACGTATACTACAAATTGCACAGTCACCTGACAATCTGATCAGACGCACAGACTAGTTTTATTGCAGTCTTATGTTACGAGGCCCCCAAAACACAGCATTCCAGCTAAGTGGGGGATCAACAACTTACATAATACGTGGTAAGTAATGGTTTCTGTATTCAGAGTCTCCGAGAGTGATGAGCAGAATAGTAACGGTTGCGAACAAGTTCTGACTCGTCTCTGCATGGGCATAATATGCAGTGCAGCCGGGTTGCTCTGAGCACGGAGGCAAGGTCCCGTCAGCAAAGTTTCTGTACGAACAGTATCGATCGAGATGTATTTTTGTTGTTCCGTGGAACCCTTTGTTTGTCTTTGCTCTATTTGGAGGCTTACGTAATACCCCCCCCCCATTCTGACTACCCAGAGACAGCTAGCACAGTAGCAGTGGATTTAATTTTACCATGGTTTTACCCATATTGTGAGAGGTATTTTTATTGCATTGTTAAAACATCTAAAACCCAATGCTTTATAATTTATTCTCAGCTTATTAAAATTCCTTTATTGGAGGTGGGGCTCTGGAATGGGATGTGGATAACCACACTGAACACTCTTTAATAGACATCACCCAAATCGGCTATTTTCTACCTGAACAAGAACACGGCGAGGTCAGGCATGGAATCGTCGGTTACAGATTTGACAATTACAAGCCTGTCCAAGTGAAATTGGAATGTAAAGGTTTATGGTTTTCGGGGGTGTAGTTTCTTTGCGCACAATACTCCACTTATCTGTTTAGCGCCGAACCGGACAGTATTTATTTGGCTTTCGGGTCCGATTTCTGAGGTATTTTAATTGATGATTTCCACATGGGGCTCACAGCAACGCAGACAGAACACGACCACCCGGCCTAGGGTAGCATAAAGCAATTACACCAGACCCCACAAAAGTGACAGGTGGAAGTGGCTTGAATGTGGGCATAGTAGAACATCTTGCCTAATAGGGCCCCCCTCTCATTGATTTAGCTCCGAGACTTTCCAAATTGCAAACACAGCTGGGAAGTGACACTGAAATGTCTGTATGCACCTACCAAATACCACAAGCAACTTATGCTCCAGCCTTGAATCCCTATCTCAACCCCAGCAGTAATGTCACTATTACGGTTCTCGTACAACAGGAACAAGAACTCTTCCATCCATCCCCATGACCTGATGACCCTTCAGCCTAAAGGTTTCACTTTTTTCTCCGCCTTTTTTCTTTCCAGGATTTGTTCAAAGCTGCACAAAAACTGTAACATGCCACAATGGGGTAGCTTGGTAAAGCCTAATTTTGACATTGAATGTGTTGGCTATTTTTATTCAGCAGAAAATTGCATTATGCATATTGTTTACCACTAACCAACCAACAAATTTCAAGACTGAATGTCCAAGACCATTTTTTTTTCATTGGAAATTCTCTGCAGAGTTACCTAGACCAGTTTCTGAAACTTGCCAGGTTTACATCATCCCTGAAATCAGTCCTCCTAGTAGAGTTTTTATAATTATTGTGTTTTTCTCTGTCTTGTGCTTTGTATTTGTTTTAATGTCGTTTAATTGTGTTAACCTTGTTTTAATATATTTTGTATGTTTTATTTTCTGCATGATTCCCGTTTTATTGTATAGTTTCATAATTGTTTTTAAAGTGTAGGCTGTTTGTTTCACATTTGTATAATTCCATTTAATTTTGTTGTATTCGTGTCGTTTTCTTCAGAGAGCATTCTCTTTCCTTTGGACAATGTATATACATGTATTGCATAATACATCCTCAAAAGGAAACATTATTAATGGCTTTTTGGACTGACAACTCGTGGTGTGCGGAATGAGAAAAAACGCATGATTTCACGGGTTAATTCTTGTCACGTGGAAGCGGTTATACCCACGTCAATGGTGAACATTAAAATAGCACTTCTTTAATGTATCCCGTACTGGTAGAATGCAACGTGCGGGATAGGAAACACCGAAATGGCTTATTTTTCAGTAGTCACATATTCAACCGGGGCGGGACGTGTGAAACTTTCAAAGTACGCTCGCGTGTAAGCAAGGAACAGTGAACTATAACGTTTTATATCATCTCCGCACTATCGGCTCTGTAGAGAAAAGGTTATTGTCGTCAGTCGTAAATCGGAAAACCTGGTAAATTCTCGGTCTTCCAATATGAGTACTCTGATGGGCTGGGTAGGCCTAATAATGTATTTGCCGTCAAGGAAATGCATTTGAAATTGCATTCATCGATTTTCAAAAACGATTTAAAGTGTTAAGTACTCTTTCGTAAAGCAGGTCCCATTTGCCCCGGAAAAATCACGTTCAAAAGAAAAACTAATGTTCATATTACATGTAGTTTCTATTTCCGTTACAAGCACTTTCAAATATTATGCTGACCTTTTCGTGATGCTGGAAAAAAAATTCCTGAAAGCAAACAAGTTCACACTGAGAACATGACCAACTTTTTTCCCACTGTGAAACTACATCTAGAAACACAATTCATTTGAAATGACTTGACACGACAAACATTTAAAGAAATGTTTTGGAAAATTATTTCATGTGAAAGGCCACATTAATGAAAAAGTAACACACTGTTTAATGATGAATTACAGACTGTAGAACTCCTCATCTTTTTGTTCTTGTTCATTTACTGGCACGAGTATAATTTAAGGATTTAAAGAATGGGGGGGAGGCAATCAAAGCCATTCCACCTCCCTGAACATGGGCACCAACTTATAGACACAAAAACAGAAACAACACACTGTAGAATCTAATTTGTCATTCTAAACATTTTCCATTTTTCTTTAATCTGAACATCAGAAAAACCAGAGTGGAGTACACGTACAGATGGTTTGCCACACGATTAAAAATATTCCTTCATCTTGGGCATTGAACAGCATTAACATTGCAATAATTCTTTATTTCGCTATTTTTTTTTGTTACTAGAACAATTACACACTATATATACTCTTTATGGAAAACATTAATTCCATTTAGGTAACATATCTCAAGGATTTGAATGGTTCAGCCTAAATTCAACACATTCCCAACAAAAAAATTGATTTCTGATTGCAATCCCAATGGTCTGGGTTAAAATTAGATGTTGAAATAACAGCACAAAAAACACCTTCACTCCGGCATTATGACAAATGTAGACAAGGATAGGATTAACAAAATCCACCCCTACACAGCAAATATACGGTAGGTCTTGATTTTTTTTTACGGTGACTAAAGTGACAGTAAAATGCACAAAACTCTACTGCCAAATTAGAACACAAAAGTGAACAAATTTCAGGCATAAATCAAATAATAATGAAGTTTCTGTTTGTGTCACATTCCACTTTTTGTAACAAATTATGATGTTCGGTTTTAATGTGCTGTACATATAACACCCACAATTCTTAACCTATGTCTAATTTATGTCTGATTTATTTGTTATGGCAGAAATACTCTACATTATCACCCAAAGTTGTTTTAAATAGCAAATTAGTGTAACAGACAAATAAGCCAAAGGTAGGTAGGGGTTACCAACTGGTCTATAGAATCAACATCTTGTGGGTCATAACATCAACTGATTAAGTCTCTATATTTTTTTCACAAATAAACGGCTGTTCCCAAAACATAAACAAGATTCTTTTATCTATGTTTGAACAACACTGTTGACCATACTTTGTCATCAGCCCAAATTTGGGGATCAAGACCCCTATTAAAGGTTTGGCTCCTGTCTTGGCCCAGTAAAAATTGAAGTCAAAATAGCTGTAATGCTATGAAGTAGAAATCTGTTTTATAAAGAGAATTTTTTAAAGAACTAATGACTTTTTTAAATCTCAAAAAACTTTGTTTTTTTATATCTCAATCAACAAAAGCACCTTTATGATTTATGCTAAAAAGAAAAATGTTTTAGGAGCAACAACTTGACCAAGAACTTGTACAAAGTCCATGTCTTTCCTAAGCCCTCAACTGAACACATACAGCTAAGATCTTTATTGCTGATTTCCTGAAGACACCAATCCAGAAACAGCACAGTACACATAATCATGGCATGCAATCCACTACATGTGCATTTGTCACAAGTTCTAAAGACGGCACAACACCACCATTCTCAACATCAACGGTGCTTGTTGTGGAAACTGTTTCTAATCAGGGAAAGGCTACCAAAAACTGTCTGGGTGGTGACAGAAATCATCAAATCGATGAACATGTGCAGTTGAACAGGTTTAGGACAGTTACAGAAACACATGCAATCACTAACGACAGTCCTTTTCTAAACATAAAGCCATCCTGCTTGTATTAATATAGTTCTAGTTCCTCTTCTGTGTCAAGCTGAAATTGTTACTCTAATTGTTCCCTATAAGCAGGTCAGATATACATATACAACGATGTCCAGTTGCATCTGGACAGAAGTCTACTCTGAACATGAAGTATGCCAGTTGTCATCAAGCATGTCAGTGTCTTAAGTTCCTTCACAATTCTTCAATTCAAACTACCAAACCATTCTTGTGAGGAATCTTCGGGAATCTTCTCAAATACTCCACTGTGCAGGAAACCACTGGCACATTGTTTGCTAGTGTCTGAGCTCTACCTTCATCAGTCCTGCAAAAAAACTCCCTACACTCCTGGCCTGTTTTCCAAATTTCTTGGTTTGCCTGACTTTTAACTCTTGACTTTGTTGTTGACAGCTCAGTAACAAGACAGAGAGTCCCACTGGAACATCGAACTACATGTCACAGAGTCAAATACTGAATTATTTCCATTGACTCTGAATATCGAGGGACTACATTATGGGATTGATTTTAGAGATAAAGCCTGAGATGGAGAAGTTGAGTATCAGAAAACCACCAATGTGAATTTTGAAAGGTGTGGGTAGATTAGGTCAGATCAGAGCGGAGCAAAATACTAAGCAGGTTTATGAAATACATTCCAAGAACCACTTGCGAGCAATAGTTCATATGAGGATTTTCCTAGATCTTTCTTCTATCTTTTTTTTTGGGGGGGGGGGGTTTAAGAACTATGCTTAAGTACTATGCAAGTAATTTACCCTGTGCATTCCTAGGACTCAACTTTGTGAATCACATTGTATATAGCTTTATATGGCTCCGGAAATGTTTTCTTCGGTTTCTGATTGCCAACAAACAACTGATCTAACATGCTAACAGAGCTCTGATTTTGTGCAGGCACAACTATACTTCCTGAAAACACAAAACCAAAATGTCCATACGAACTGATACTCCACTATGCAAACACTAAAATCGTTCACTGGTTCTAGAACCAGTGGTTTCAATAAGCACCACATTCTATAATGCCTTTGGTGAATCATACGGATTGCATAATTCTCTGACTGGCACACTTCATGAGGTAGCAGACTTGGGGATTATTTTGACAGTTACATTCATGATTATTCATATATAAATTAAGCTATATACATCAGTCCAGCTCCATGTCTACATCAACACTACCCCCTTCTTTACTAGCCTGGTCTCCACTCTCCTCGGTTTCCATCTTCTCCTCAGGCTTGGTGTCCTCTGCTGTGGCTCCATTGCCTTCCTTGGCCCCTGTGTCTTTGGGTGGCTCTTCCTTCGGTTTGGGCTTGGGTTTGTTTAGAATCTGGTCACAATTTTTCTTCAGTGACTGGACGAGACAGAACAGAAAACAACGTCGCTGAGTGAACTTCTGGTAAAAGCTAGATGCTTGATTGCACCCAATTTATGACCTGCAACCCCTTGTTTAATACACAGTGTGAGCTAAGTAGTCCAGAGTAGTTCAGTTGAATTTAATTTCATACACACATGCTGTGGGTTCTGATAATGGCGGCAAATGGATAGGGAGATCGATGCACATTAAATGTTATTATTACCCAGAGACCCATTATTACCCATTATCATTTTAGGCACAAGTACATGTGTAGCTTGCAACCATGGCGGTAACACAGCCCTCAAAGGTATCAAAGGCACTCCAAAGAAGGAAGAACTAGGTGACAAATGTGGTAAAGAACCTTGCCTGAGAGAAAATCGCACTCCTCAATGGTTGCAAGGGGAGTATTATTCACAAATACAATAGGAAATGCATATCAACTGCAGAATTGTAGATTTTTAGTCTCCAGTCAGTCCACAAGTCAACTCGCAAGTCATTTCACAAGTCAGTGCGGATCGAACTAAAGAGATGAACAATAACAAAGGAATGCTTTTGTCACAGTTCATTTAAATAGCTTTTGAGTTGACCTGTGGCTGAATGACCAGCTGTGACTTGTGACTGACTCAATTACAACTCTGGTCAAGTGTGTAATCAGCTGCCACCCCCCTCTCCCACAATGCAACCCCAAACTGCTCCCCCACCCTCACCCCTTTACAGCCTCAACCCTCATCCTAACTGAACCCCTTGCCTGACCAACTTTGAACTGAACCATCATTACTTACAGCATTCTCCGCTCGTATATCTTGGACCAGTACGATAGGTTTGTTATGGAGGGCCAGTTGGTTCTGGGCGTTCACCTTGCTGTCCCTCCAAGCCTCCTTCTCATTCACCCACTTCTCAACTTTCTCTATCTCTGCCTTCTCAATGTGGGCGTACTTCTCATCCTGAGAGAAAAAAAACGGGATAATACGAATACAAAGCAGTGTCAGACCAGCACACTTTTACAACAGTCCCTGACAGTAACAAAACTTCACAATCTAAGGATATGAATGCCCATTACCAATTCTAATATTCATGGGTCTTTTATAAGTATCCGTACAAAATTTAAAAACACGTTGTCCCTGCATAGCCTGTTGTGGTCCAACCAACAGCAACAATATCTTGATTATGCTAAAAACTGTGATTATGGGCACTACAGTTTGACTCCTTCCAAAAAGGCACTACACTCTTGCCAAGAGAGCCCCCCCCGTGAGCGATAACCCCGTAGCCAAGTATTTCAATGATTTTGCTCTGTTATTTATATTCTATCTCCCATCCAAGAAGCACTGCAACCCAAGAAAAACTACCAAAACAACAATCAGCCAGAATATTGCAATAAGAAACATTACTATGCATTGCATGGTACAGGCTTTAAAGCGGTGGCCAAGCCAACAACGATAAAGACCTAAGTACACTTGAAAGCAGATTCTCTTCAACTCTCAAGCTTCTCCCAATGCCTCACCCCTTCATTATACTGCAGCAGTGCCTTCCTGTAGTGCACTAAGCTTGCCCCCAGCTCTTCAAATGCTTGAGGTCGATCAAGGGATTCCTTGTACCGTTCTACAATTGGATCACCTGTTTTCTGCACCAAACACCAACAATAGGTATGATTGTAACTGACGGAAATAAATTTAATGTTTCAAATTGAAAAGGACAAGTCAGACATCATTCAAACATGACACTGCATGAATAGAAACTTTTCTCTTCCTATATCATATCCTCTTTCAATCTAAATTGTATAAACTTCACTAATTCTAACAAAAGTATAAAAACTGTATCTGTCTTTCCATGATATTAACAAGGAAAATAACTTATGCTTGTTTTAACTGGACTTTTTGACTTTGGTATGTAATATTAGAGTCAAGAGAAGATGGATCCGGGGGGAAGGGGTCTCCAACAGTCTGTGCATGAATTGCAGTATGTTAGACCTTGTTAGATTCACCACAGCATGGGGTCACAGGAAGTGATACATTTTTCACTCACCTTCAGTTTAGCCAGCTTGTCAACGTAGACATTTTTAGCTTCATCTTCGCCATCTTCATAAAGCCAGTTCTCTGTCTTGTCCAGGAGACTGATAAATGCATCTCGATCCTACAGAAACAGCCCAAAAATAAAACTAATTGATTGTTTATTCAAACATTGATCGCATAATTTTGTAAATGCACTGCAAGTGCTCTCTCATAAAGAACAGAATTGACAATAAAGAAAATCCCCCCACGTAATCTTTTGACTTAAAAATACAATGTTTTCAATAATACTCCTTTTTTATTTTCAGGCTGGAACTGGCAATCTGCTATAACCCACAACGGAAGTATTTGGCCTCAGAAATGAAAACAAATACTTCTTCACCGAAAGAAACCACCTTTTATGAAAAGCTCAAATTATTTCCTTTATTGACTAAGAGCCAGAAGCAAAAGAGAACATCAGCATTTTGAAAGTACAACTGTCAAATTGGCTGATATTGGAATAATCCCTTTACACTTGGTAGCATGACCATCAGAGACTTTCAAGGCGATGTAGACTGTTCAACGGAGTGTAAAAATTGTTCCAAGCAAAACTGACGAGCAAGCAAGAAGAGTCTTACTGCTGACGAGATGAAGCATTCCAGCTGATCACACAGCTTGTCCTTCATCTCATAGACATACTCCTCTACACTGTTTCTGGCATCACTTCTCTCTCTCTCCAGTTTGTCCTGTGCTATCATCTGACCCTGGGTTGATTAACCAAAAAAATTACTAACGTTAAAGGCAACTCAACAATTTCAAATGTTCAGCATGGTTAAACTGAAATGAAGGACCATGACAAGTCCATCAGTTTTCAGCCATGGACACAACTCTTGGAGTTCTGCTTTTAGAATGTGATTTTTGTCAAAGTTGACAATATTTACTTCAGTCAGCAAAATACTAGCCTAGTGTGACACACAATTTGTCATTCAGTGTCATTCAAGGAGGCTATAATGAAGTCAGAATGGGCAACAATGAAACATTTCCCTCCTTCATTTGCCTTTGGCAGCATTCTTCCATCTTACACAATCTAATTCCACTGTAACAATATTATGGTTCATGTCTGTACGAGATTAGACAGCCAAACTGAATACCATGTCAAGAAAATGTATCAAACTGTTTGTCAAGAGAGCCTTTTTCTGACTTGAGCTTGAAATTACTCCTTGAAGCCTACCGTTGCTCAACTAATCAGGATACTGTGTAATTAAATCAGTCTACGGAACTCAGGAAGTAATATCAAAATCAAGCTGATATTATGAAACTAAACTGTCCTCATCTGGTTTTTGTCTTCAATGACAGATCAATCTACCTCTCTCTCGGCATAGTTGGCAATGTCTTTGCCCTTGGAACTGTGGGTAATCTCCTCCACAGGCAGGTCGTGATAACGCACTGTCTTCTTGGCCTTCTTAGGTTCTGCTTTTTCGCCTGCATCAGCTGTGTCTGAGCCCCCATTGGAATCTGCCTTCTTTTCATTTGTCTGAGATGTTTCGTTTGATTCCATCTGAGAGAAACGATAAAGACAAGTTGGAATACAAATTTGTACTGTAATCAACAAATAGATAGGCACCAAAGCCTATCACTGTACAATTGGGTTTTATCGCTGACAGTTGGGCAGCATTATTCAAGCTTCCCTGGCTATGAACTGTCACCTGTGTTGAAATTTCCACCTGACTTTGGCAACATGACTTTTGACACAAGTGAAATTCCAGCACACTGCTGCCTTGGTGAAAAATTCCTAACAGTATATAAGTGTTAACATCTGCATAAACAAGACGTGTTCAATGACTGCCATTGTTCAAATTCAGCACGAGTTTCATAGAATCTGTATCATAAAGTAAACAGCGAGCCGTCTTTGATCACCACTGATGGGACATTTCAAGACATCTGATGAGGTCAAAGACTTGCCACCTCTCCATTTTCTTTCTTGGCTTCTTGCTCGGCAGCCGGCTCTGTGTTCTCCTTAGCCTGCTCCTCCGTCTCCATGGGAGACTCTTCTGCATTATTGACAGCCGTATCGTCTCTGCTTGGCTTTTCGGCAGCATCCTTGTCGTTCTGCTGCTCGGGCTGGGGTGGGATTTTCTCCATCATGGAGGCTGAAGACACCTTAAAAATGCCATGCCCATTGACACGGACCTTGACCTTGACCTTTGAACTCTCACCCTCAGTAGTGGGCTTTACATTCTTGATCTCAAACCGACCTGTTCATTCATGGAAACAAGAATAATTGTTTTAAAAAGAAACAGTTAAAAAAGGCAGCTTTCAAAGAAGAAAACAATACAATTTCCTTGACCAAACTTCACTACAAAAAAGGATTTAAAAAGTGAAACCCATGCAGGTAAACAAGGGAATTCCTTACCTATAAAAGGATCTGAGTATGGAATCTTATCCTTGGATGTGTACTTGGCTGACAACTCAAATGGTTCCGTCCGATAGAATGTCAACATCTTAGAAAAGGGAACCTGGTGATTTGGGGGGAAGACTTCCATCTCACTGCCACAAGTAAAGATGAGAACAATGAAAGAAAGGTTAAATATAAATGCATATTACAAAATTAAGAACGGTTTTTCCCAAGTGCGCAAAATCATGGACTGACTACTGCAAGTAAGAATAATTTGAAACCATTTCACTATACAATGGATTACAGTCATGAAGTTTGTGGACAAAATAATTTTTCTTGAAAAGAAAAATGGTTCTGAAGCAACTGCACAGATGTTATATCTGACACAATGTGATGTCTCCAAACCTCAAGGTTTAAGTTTAAGAAGCAGTACAAAGCTTGGTCAATTTTTGAAGAAGTAGTTAAGCAGTTGCTTTTAAACAGTTTTCAAAATAATATACAATTTTACAGCTGCTCCCAGACCACTGTCATCATGAATCTCACTCCAAGTCTCCCAGGCTTGCGCATTATAGGACCTCAATCTGACCACAGTTGGCGGTCTAGAACTACTCACCCATCTTCCCCTTCCGTAGCCTTCCACAGCAGGCTAATGGAGTACGGGGTCAGGTCGGTCACATTAAACTCACGTACTCTAAAGGTTGGTGACAGAATGGCACACTGGAAGGCAACAGACAGTGTATGCCCAAGTCAACACTCAAGTTCTTGGCAAACAAAACTTGGAAAACTTTCTGAGGAAAGGTTACTGGTAAGCGAAGCCACTTATGGATACTAAATAATCAAAGAGAAAAAATAATGCATCAGTTGCCTTAGTAAAGTATCCTGGAATTGCACTACTGGGTAATTAAAAAGTGAAGCGGGAAGGTGTGGAAACTGCAAGACATGAGAAGTACTAATTACCTGCAGAGCACATCCTCTGGCAACTGCCTCGTCCTGGTTCAGGGTGGTGCTAGCGTCCTTCTTGAAGATCTTCTTGATCAGTTCCTTAACAGCTGGGATGCGCGTAGATCCACCAATGATTTCAACAGAATAAATCTCATCTGGTTTCAGCTCTGTCAACATCAAGCAAACCACAATGAATATTCAATGAGAAAAAAGATTTGTTTGTGAACCTTATTCTGGACTTCTGCCCTCAGAGTTTTAGAATTAGAAAATACAAAGAAGCCTGAAGAGTTAATCTAACTGAATATGCAAAAGTGTTGGGCAAGCTGGAGGCTGGATAGAGTACTGAGGATGCTCCATCCAGTACTATGGCCGCACTGATTGATCTGTGGCTGTCCTGACCAATCAGGAAGGAGACAGAATGGTCACCTGATCAGTAAAACACTGACCGTTGGTGATCACTCAGCAGGGACAAGGTGAACCCGACTTGTCTCCTCAAAGCCAGAATACATGAAAAAAAAAATGGATTACTTCTCATAAATCATGCTGAAGTCTGACAGATGAAAGAACTACAGCCAATATACAGGAACTCAAGCAGCTGTCCCACTCTGTGCGATTTTAGTTATTCACCAATGGAATCCCTGCAACTGAAGGTTGAAATCTGTGATCCTATTCCACCAGCAGATGAGACACTTGAACATCCTCGACATTCAAGATTTCGAGAAATTTTCTCAACTTAAATTTTAGAAAGGTCAGCACCAAGTCCAAACACTTTGTTTGCGTGTACAGGGCATTCAGCATAACCATGGAACTAATGCACAGCTGACTTTGGTGATAGATAGGCCTTGTTGATCCTCTCTATGTCAAACACTTTACAATACACTCACAACGCCCTGATCCAAAATACTCCATTTATCAGTGACATAAAGTGAAACTTTCTAAAATTGGACTCACTGGTCTGAGATTGGACTGACTTGAGTACAGCCTCAACTCTTTTCAATAAATGGGATGACAAGGCCTCGAAATCAGGTCTGTTGGGAGAAAACAAAAATTTCAAGTGAGGATCTTAAATGGGTAGCCAAGTGCTTAAATGAAATTTTGATGTGCAAATAAGACTTTGAAATATCAAACACCTTTTGTGTATTACTGATCATTTTGAAGAATGCTGCATACAATGACTATAAAAAAAACATGCCTAATAAAAAAGGGTGTGACTGGAGGAAAATAAAATGTCCATGAATCCCACCAGAGGTTTAAAGGCCTCCACAGTAGTGCAGGATATATGGCATACATCTGTACATCTGTACTTGCTAAAAGGGACCTCTTAAAATACCCATTATTTGTCCTTTTTTTCAACTTTTGTAAGTTACTACCTTAATGATAAACTCAGAATTTTCAGATTTCAAGAAAGCTGGTTTTAAAAAATGTGGAGATCAGAAAAAGCATCGAGAAAATATCCTGAAAAGCAGGAAAAATCCTGAAAATTTCTCCCTGCACCTTTTTAGATCCTTTTTAAGTCCTTCAATGAAATCTTGATGGTTAGATATGAGCTGGAATGCCAAACAAAGTGTCTGTGTATCATTGATCAGAATGCCACTTACAATGACTACATAAGATGGCAAGGTCTTTATAAAGTTTGTACTTTTACCTTTTCATGTGTCCAGTGACATCCTTGTCGTCCATGATACTCTCAATGTTCATGGGTAGATCAGTGGCATTGGTGCTCATCTGCTTCTTGAGCTTCTCACACTCCTGGGTCAGTCGCAGGTAGGCCCGGGGGCTGGACTTGACATCAATGCGATACTTGGGCTTGAACTCCTCCGCAAAGTGCTCAGCCAGGACGTGGTCAAAGTCGCGGCCACCTAGACTTGGGTCGCTGGCAACGTTGAGAATCTGAATGGGAGAAAGTGGAAAGGATATCAGGAATAGGGCACAATCATGGCAACAAATGTCTGAGTTTTCTCAGACCTTATTTATGAAAAAAGTAGACATTTTGGAGTAAGCATTAACAGTGGACACGGAAAGCGGCATGGGGGGAAGCGGCATACACATTGTTTCATGATCGCTCACATTCAACTGGAACATCGCGCCACGCCACCCAAATGTATGGCATGCATGCATATACTGTACAGGGCCGTGCGAGCACTGTGTGTATAATGGGGATAGCGTACACTCAGCCTGGCCGGCGGCTTGGCCCGCTCTATCCATGCATACTGCACGATCGCAAGTGCATCTCAGGTGACACCCGCTGGCCTATCCAATGACTTAACTTAACAGCGTATGCCCAAGCTAAGAGTTTTAATGTACCATGCAACAATGTCAGTCTAGAACAAGTGCTCATCAACGTGCACGCGTTATCGGTATATCGAGAGCTCCACATTTTTCATGCACACAGGACAATTGTACGGTCGGGGAAGTATTTTAACTAACACCACAATGTAGTGTTTGCAATTTAGTGCAATGTGCCACGCGCGATCTGAACTGTACATGCCATCGGCTGATCAGGACTACCCTGATTAATTCCCACGTACGTTGTTCTGTGCAAAATCACTAGCCTAGCCAGTTTTTATGGTACGCAAAATGCCGAGGGAAGAGCAGCTGCAGTCAAAACAGGCAGAAGCTGGTCCGTGGAGAAAGAAGGGGAGACATAGCCCCCTTGACACCTCTGGCCAGTGTCTGTGAGGTGTTGTGACAATCAGCCGCATGGAGGCTGTTGGAAGCCAAAGCATCTCACACTGTTACTCTAGCACACAGTGTGAAAGTCCTCATCTCATGAAAGTCGAGACAGAACGGCAGATGGGTGTGCCAAAGAAGAAAACACAGAGTCTGATACACAAACATTAGAGAAAACGTCACAGAACAAAACACAGACCCATCTCACACACAAACCGTCCTGGGGATAAATTTTCCCTAGGAATGACTTCCATCGTTGACAGAGTGTACTATCAAAGTATTACAACTTGAAGTAGGACTTATGAGTCATTTCAATGTGCCAGATATTCTCACCTTGAGTTTGCCCTTGTTGAAGGCTGACACACAGACCTGTAATGATGACTGGCCCATGTCCACAAACACAACCACCCGAGGCTTCTCCTCTGGTGCTGGAAGGTCTTGCTTGTAGATACCATACGCTAAAGCCGCTACATATCAAAATTGTACCCAAAATTCAGAAAAATTGTAATAAGAATGGGGTGCGACCATGTGGCCACTGTTTATTTTTCACGATAAAGCATTTAGATGACAAGTGTTGAAAACCGTTGATCTTTCACATTTGCAAGTTAATTTCTTTCTCAAAATCATTTTGGCCTCTTTGATCTAAAAGTCGTTTCAAGGGCAACCTCAAGACAAGTACTAGGGAAGGGGGATCCAGAAATCACATTTTACTTGAATTTTGTATGACATGAGACACTTGCCGTATGAAAATTACATGATGCTTGGATGCTGTGCCTCACAATGGCACAAGACTTTGCTTTAACGTGAAGATCAAGCACATTTGCTCTGAGTTTTTAACTTTTCGACACACCCTATAGGCACAGACATAGTCCGCGGTTCAATTTATATTCATACCAGCAGTGGTATCATTGATGATTCTCAAACAGTTCAGACCAGCTATGGTCGCTGCATTCAGTATGCTTTTCCTCTCCACGTCAGTGTAATACTGGGGGACCTGTTTGTCAAATTAAAGAAAAGAAGTTCAAATGTTTAAGATCAGAAACACTTCATGAACATTCTTCAAGCCATAGTTACCTCAAATCATGAGTCTTTTCATTGCAAAGTACCACTTGACAAATCAGGACATCCTATAGATGGTAGCTTTGACTTAAAAGAGTGAACCATGTTTGTTGGCATGCCAGCCTGGAAATTAAACCAGACACCCAAGCCACAACGCCCCTTTGCAATGACTGGTTCATTCTGCTGCAGGAAAACAGGTGCAGGCCGTCATCAACAAGGAAAAGCAAGGGGAGGGTTTGTTTTGGATGCCGGCATTCTAACATTTATGACAAAAACACCACCTTGGGAAACTTGTGAGTCACTGGCAGTAGCAAAGGGGAGGGACTAGGAGGGCCACTGGCCCAAACTCCCCCTCCCCCACTTTTCTTTGACTTGGGGAAATGTCCCCCCCTCCTTTAATGGCTGATACATGACAGTCCCACCAATGCCCACTCCCACTTCGATAATTGTTCATCATCTTGGGTCATCCTGTGCAGGATGGAGCATGTTGTAAGGATTCAGTGGCCATTAGCCATGTGCATGGGTCTGACAGCCAAAAGCACCTTACTGGCTTACTCTAGCACACAACCTGAAAGTTCAGATCTCACCGGATCGAGACAGAACAGCAAACTGGTGTGCAGGGAGGTTGGCAAATTCAGGACCAAATATCATCAGCTGGAGGGATAAACTAAACTGGCTTGAATACTGGCCAGCCTACTGTCTCTGTTCTGGCTGATAGTTTCCTAAAGTTAGTCATGTTTGTTGAGTTGGAGATTCATGGTTTATCCTGGAGCCTTTACTATCAAATGAGTCAGGTACTACCAGCACACAGCTGCTTACCCCAACGAGGCTACAAATGATAAAGTTGAGCAACATATTAAACAAATAGAACAGCTACAACAATTGGGCTCAAAGTCTACATGTACCTGACCTAAGCAAGCAATTTACAAAAGATTTACAATCCCAACTGAACAGTTCTGTCAAGTGAGAATCAAAACACACCACTAAAGAATCAGGTTTCGTTTTTAAACCGTCAACAGAAACTCCGCCTTTGCAAGTGTTTCAGTTTTTCCGTACAATATACAATAATGAATAGCATCCAGGTGCATACTCGTTGTTAAGAGAATTCAATCTCTTTTTCGGGGGTGAGTTTATGACACAAGGAGTAAACCATTCAGCATCTTGACTCACCGACAGGACACAGTCCACCACCTTGGTTTGGAGACTAGCCTCAGCAGTCATCCTTAGCTTGGTCAGCAACATGGCATACACCTGCTCAGGTGTGAAAGTCTCCTTCTCGTTCATGTACTGAACCTAAAGGTAACAATAATCAAACCAGTTCAGCAGGAGCTCTGTTCAAGCTTGTTTACTACAATACTGCCAAATTCTCTGCTGACTGCCATAAACATAACAATTTGAATTCCCAAGGCTATTCCCAAGGCTGTTGCTATACCTCCTGATTCGGGGCAAGCTTTTACGTAACGACCACTATGCCAGGATCAGGAATGGGCTGGTTCCTTTTTTCCCCCTCTTATCCATTGAAAAATGTGTACTGGTGCAAAGCGTCTCTTTTGTAACTAAGGAAAAGCTTGCCAATCATGAGGTATAGCTACAGTATCTTTAGAATGGAGAATTCAAATTGTTATGTTCACGTGAATGTAAAGAACTCAGTGCACCAGATTTTATTCAAATTTCCTTCTCAAAAGGCTTATTCTTAATGCATTCCCGACTGGTCACAGTCTCAAAGACATAAGGCCATGATGTCATACATAAAGAGTACCACAGTGAATATGTCAGATGGACATTTGTGTGTAAAAGGCACATGAACAAATGTGTCAACACACATAATGCCATCACACCCTACATTATGTGGACTTCTTTTGTGCACAGGTCCACATTACGTATGCCACGCCTGCACATGTGCATCCTCTGTTTCTTGCACTACACATCCTGGTTCAAAATGATGTGGTATTTCAGTACTCTAAATAAACAATGCATATCACAGAAGTTTATTTAGATTACATCAGTAGTAAACCTTTCCATTCTACCTTGATGCCAATACCGCCATCTGGTCTTTTGACCTTCTCGTTGAGTATTCTGGGTAGTTCTGCTTGCACTGTAGGATCGTCAAATGGCCGCCCAATCAGTCGCTTGAAATTTGTTATGGTGTTTTTATAGTTGGATATAACCTAGAGGAAAAATGGTCAGAGATGTGTGGAAAAAATATGCTGTTGAAATTAATTGTATTTTCTTCAAAAAGTGGTATAAAATCAATCTATATAGATGTGAGGTGGAAATGTGCACTGTCAAGTTAGCTTTTCTTAAATTAAGCTGCATACTGCAGACTGCGTGAGAACAGAACCAAATCAAAGTCACTGAAATGATGAATTTTGTATGGTCAGTGCTAAAACATGAAATGAAAAATTTTAGATGATTATGTCTTGGATAAAAGTGTAACTTTAGCAAAAATCTATGGATCATGATAATGTGATTTTCTCCATCTCTTTTTTGGCTCAGTAATAGGATGGAGTAGATATCTAAAAATTGTCCACAAAAGAAAAAATTCAAAAATGAGAGAAAGTGAAAGAATCAAAAACCTGTGTCTTAGCAGCTGACCCAAGAATCCTTGTCCGCTCACCAAAACTCACGATAGCCCTGGAAAACAGAAATGGGAATAGAAGAAACCTGCTCAACACGGTCCCACTCAGTGACTTGTGACTGTGAATGCACAGTGAAGATACGCTTCAATACCTTTCTCTAGAATGTATTAACCCCTTGAGGGCACTCTCTTTCCATGAACTACAATTTGGGTTTTCTCAACCTTGAAAAGGGTGAATAACAATTGCACAGTTGTTATTCATCACAAACTGGGCCAGTAAGGAAGTAAGAATGAAATACATAACAGTACATAAGAGTGCACTGTAGGTTTTTTCTGTTCTAGAGGTATGTTTTTGTACTGTCTATGCTGAATAAATTATAACAATAATAATAACTGTAAAATTTATACCCCAAATTTCCTGAATTAAATTTAAGATTTAACTTTTTTCCCCCGCCTATGTTGCTTTTCACGATAAAAAATCATGCAGTGGAATTATGTATGTTTTCCATTATCTTTAGTGCATAATATGTTTTATAAGAAAAATCGCCACTATTTTCATGTTTCGCTGAAAATGTTTACCTAGATTATAACTTTGTAGTTTATTTTGATGTCTTTTATAAATCTGTTTGCTTTGGTTTGTTTTTTTTCTTTGTCTTGATTTGTTTCCGTTCAATTGAGACTCCACCATGAGTGTTATTTGTACACAATCTGTGAAACCATTAAAGCTCTTGCTCAAAGGGAAATGGATCTAAGGTCATTTAGGATAATCAATGCAGTCAAAGCACGTGTGAAATTCCTAATGTTTAATATGGAATGAGGGTGTATGTAAAATCATATTGAAATCGGAGGATTTGGGACTATTAGGGTTGCCTCTTTGATACTTAAATACAGAATCAGCTATCACTTTATATAGGGTGATTACAGAGCAAAACAGTTGATTTTCAATCACTTTGTTGGTTATCGATTACTCAAAACCCCCTTTGCGACAATGAAGGCTTCTTTACAAAAAGCATGAGAGCATGTGACTTAAAATGCACCAGCTTATTAATTTTGTTATTCCATTTTAGAAAGTTAGGTATTTCTTTTAAATTAACTTACTTTAGCTTGCCTTTTAAAAACATTTTAATGAACTTCTGCTGAAATAAAATGTACTGAAGCTTATTTTAGTGGCATGACTTGCTTGACATTTCTGTGGAGAATTCCATAAACATACACCGTTTGACAACCTGTACAAAAACCCTGTGAGACTGTTGAAAAATATTCTAGATGTTTGAAAGTGAATACCTCAATATTTTCACTGCTAAATTTGACTTTTTAGGACATTATTGGTTTCAGAAGGTTCATAGGTCACTCCAGGGAAAATTAGCGGGTGTCCACATATGGAATTCCTTCAATTTTCAGTCTTACTTGCGCATAACACTACACTTAGACCTACATGACCGATGACAAAAACTACATTTGGCCTACCCGGTGTACCCCACTTTCAGAACTGTAAGGTTTATAGTTTTTGGCCTAAACTTATGTAGGGCCTAGGCCTATCCGCACCCACGAAAAGATACATCTGAACATGACTAACATTTGGGGGCCAATATAATTTCCCGTCCTGAAACCATGTAACTGAATATCTTAATCATCACATCCGTTTGGAAAAAAATATAATTCAAAGAAAATGGCCGCCACCGTGCGCAGCACAGAGACACGACTGTGTGCCACAGCGGTGCAGGGAAGACTCCGCGTAAATGTACGTGTACTTACGGCGTAAGCCTGTCACTGTACTCGTTCGCAATGGTTTCGATACCACCACCCCTCGCCACGGCAATGTAACAAGAGCTATTTCCAACATCAAAACCAACGACAGCCATCCTGAGATAATACCGTGTTTCTGTATTTGAGAGACAGTATCAGTTCCTGATGCGATGAACACTTCGTTAGAATGAATAAATAACGGTTAAATTATCAATCGTCTTTTTATAGAGTTGATCAGAGGTACCGGTTAAAACAGCGGCAGCACATGTCTGGAAATTTCTTGCAACACTTCCAACCACCAATCACAAGAGGGCGCTAATTCCTTTTTCTTTGTCCGCCGCCTCCAACGTACGCCTGCAGCCGATGGAATTTTCTAGATGGTTATTGTGATTCATGGAATTGATCATGCATTTTTTTCTCAGAATAGAACCAAATTTTTTAACATAAAATGGTGGATCAGAGAAAAAGCACCGGGATAGGTACACAATACGCTTCCGTGGCATCAAACTTGAAAATGATTGATCAATAATGAACCTGAGACCACCACTGCAGATAAAACAGATATTTGATCAGATGTTTTCCCTTTATTCGATCAAAATCTCTTGCATTCAAAGACTAATTCATAAATTAAGTGAGCAACGTGAGTTTTCTTCTAAATTCGTTTCAAATGCCATTTTTTTACAGGGCAGTCCTCATTTGTAAAAATTTAAATAAGAACTTATGCTGAAAGTATGTTAGCCAAGGGAATTTAGAAAAAAATTAAGTATATCCCTTTCAACCTGTAAAATGTCTTTCTGTAAAGTGATATTTATCAACAAAGTAACTTACAGTTATTACTGACATGAAATTCCTCATGTGAGGACAGTCTGAAATGAAAGATGCCATTTAGAATTCTATGAGTGGCAAGATGTTTGTCATCAAAACATACATTTTCTTAGTTTCATTGTAACAAAATTTGGGCAAAGGTATGGAACTATATTCCCCAAATCAATTCTTTAATTCCAAATCCTAAAATTTCTTTCTTTGAAAATAAAGAAATGGGCCTTTAAAAGGAGAGCTTTTGAGCAAGAATCTGTATCCTTGTGTTGGTTTATGATATTATGGTATTTTTTCCTCTTTTTTTGCACACTAATTGAACTGGTTTTGCATTGATTGATTTACCAGTGACAGCATAACACCTCACTGAGAATGCTTTAGTACCTATAACTAACATCTAATACATGTAACAACAGAAAAGACCTTTCATATCAGACTTATTCAGTGTAACTGGTGGCGTGAAATTGATGCAATTGACCTTGTTCCAGAAACAAAATCCATTACGATTGTGAGATTTTTTTTCAGACTTCAGCTTTGCTGCTATTTAGTGATAAGCTATTTCAAAGAAGCTGGGAAATTTCATAAATTTAACACTTTGAGGATGAATTCCTGTATTACCCATTGAGATATTTTGATACCAGAATGTTTGAAAGTTACAACCCCAAAAAACAACAAAAAACACCTGATGGCTCAAAAGTAACAAGACTCTGAACAAATGTGGCCAATGTGTGAGACTTTAGTGAATTTAAATGCATACCATGTGATTTGCCATTAAAGTAAATGATGCAAAGTTTTGCCAAATTTAAGAGCCTATCAACAATCTTCCATGGGCTCAAACGATTCAATTAAAAAAAAAAAAGAACACATTTCCTGGGCAACTATTCAAGGGAACCATTAAAAAAAAATCTCAAAACCAGGTCATCTGTATCGATACAACTAGCTACAAGTGTCAATGGCAGAGGTTATTAAAAAAAATGTAAGCTGCGATACGCGTTCTTCTTTCATCTTGTTCCATAGGAGACAACTCTTTACAAAGTCTGAATTGTACAAGACAATTATTATTACACACGTTTTACAGTGAATCTACACAACAATGAGAGCCCTGGCATCCTATACATGCACAATGGACGATGAGTCACTGCCCAAGCCGTATCCATAGCTATTACTACAGTTGCTAAAAAGAACTGGTTGTTCTTTCCAGTTCCACCAAAACTGCTGTGCAGTTGGAAGCAAATTTGTTACAGCTGTAGCAACAAAGAAACTGGACAATTTTGTGGCTTAACTGGGATCCAGAAAGACTTCAATACATGTGCTTCATCAGCCGACTTCAGAAAGTATACGAGGATAGAACTGAGACCTGTAAGCTTTACATTTACTGTTCTTACAGTTGTTGATGGTAACGCCTTTTTCAGGGGGGGAAGAGCTACTGAATCTACCACCAACTGTCCTGCATTCAGGTCTATTCTTATAGCATAGCTCGTCAGAAGAAGTTTACCCACACAGTAAATTCGCTAGGTGTGATTTTCTTTTAAGCAACACTAGTGTGCTCTGTATTCAGAGGTCAGGGTTCACCAAAGACATATCCACATGGTCATTATACATGTGTAATGAATCACACCATGCTATTTACAATTAGTAATTAAAAAGAAAAAAAATTGGCTTGAAATGTTTGACACCCTCAAATGACCTGCCAAAAGTCTTCTTAACGTTTTGTTTTCTTCCATAAATGGTTGTCTAGTTCTGTTTACTGCATGACCACACGTAGGTTTATTGAGTTCAGTACATCTCACTTTATGAGAGGTAATCCTTAGGGGATATTTAAATTACAAAATGTGGTTTTCCAGGATGTTCTGAAGGAGTCTGCTGCATGTTGCATAGGTCAGTGTGCACCACTTATATCCCAAAATCCAAAAGTGACAGGTCAATGATACATAGATCAAGCTCACTGCTTTGTGTTTTCTGCATCTGCTGTACCTCTTTTCCAGAGTTAATGTATTCAGGTGTCCTTTTTCTACAAATTTCAAAATGTGATTTGTTTTCTTTACTCTGTACAAGATGTTTTTTTCCATAGGAGGCTTCATTGAAAAATCACACCAGTCTGTAGTTGACAGTGTTAGTAAAACCAGAATCTTGTTGGTCAGCCATATTTGATAGTTAACTGCGTTATACAATCAGCTTTCCATCATTCATTTGCTGAATCTTGCTTAATACCAAAAAATTAGGCCCAAATATTCATTTGATCACCCACTAGGTCATCTCAAAACTAAAAGAAATTCTAACAATATTTCATTACTTTCCATAAACAAATCAAAGATGTCTGCTCTAATTTTTTCCTTAAATCCACAATCAATATAGTAATGATTTCAGAGACTAGTCATCTTAGGTCTGGTTACTAAGGTCAGAGTAACACAGGATATAATATCCAAGGCATCAGACTAATTAGCACCTCCTTCAGATACTCACACACCTGTGCACTTGTACAAAAACCAAATTGACAGCCATGGATGTAAAGGAAGAGGGTAGCCAAATCTCATGAAGCTGCTTAGCTGGTTCTCATGATGGAAACCAGTCAAACTCAGCACATACATGTACCACGCAGAACATCGCTGGTGCTCTGTTCTCTGGTACAGTCAGTAAAATTTGTGTGTGTGTTCAAGAGATCTCTGAGTAAAAGCCGCGTCCAAACTACTAGGTTACTGCTAGAAATCATACATGTGTCTGTGAAAAATACATGAAGCCCCTGCTGCAGCAACTTCCATAAGGGCATGTGATATTTCCAGCATAGCCACATAACTGGGACACAGCTTATGCAACTCATAGCTGATCTGTAATGATTAGGAAGGAATTATGGAAGGAGGGTTTATATGTACAGAACAGCATTACATGTTTTTTTTCGTCGCATCAACTCATTAACCTGTCCACGGCTCGTGCTACATCCCAGTCAGTGGCAGAGAGAGCATCTCTTGCTGTGGACTGAAGGAATACAGACAAAAGAAAGTAAGGACAAATGCTCTGAAGTGAACATTTTCCCTCGCAGACTGAAGACGTTGTTTTCATCAAAACAGGAAGGTTTCAGTATTTGCAAACAGAAATAACATAACCAAAACATCTTTACTCAGTCAGGATCACATTTTTATTCCTGAAAGAGCCGTAATGTGGAGTGCAGAATCCACTGAATGACTTGAAGCTATTTCAGGAAATCTAAACATTCTTCTCCCATTAACACATTTCTGTCTGTCCATGATCATGCATGGAAATGATTGTGTGAAGGGGTTATAACAGCAAAACTTGTCAAGTTACATGCATTTACTGATGAAGGTATGAAACAAGTCTCTGGAAGGCTAATATGTGATGCAGCACACTCCCCCGCCCCCCGGTGTAAATTATCTTTGCACATGTGACGTGGTAACTTACCTCACCAAAGCCCATTTCCGTGATTTTTTCAATCTTCTCATCTAGTTCTCTGTTGGTACATTTGGCACCAGCGTAGGCACAGGCCCAGTGTCTAGCCGTTTTCTGATAGGCGTCGGGGTTGTCTTTGTACTGTATCAAGTAAGGTGAGAAGAAAACAAACACTAAACAAACTGAGGTGAACTTGCAATCTATTAAACTGAACTTAGACCTGTGACCTTGCAATGACAGACAGAACAGGACCTGACTGCTTACAATTTGTACTGATTTATTATGATGACAGAATCAAACTGTTTCATTCAAATACGTTCAATAGACAAACTTTGGAATAAGGCCATGATTTAGGACTTGTAGCATGGTATAATGAAATATCTGACATTACCCTACATGCAAAATCATACAACAATTGTATTCACACCATAGTTCTATCCTCTAAAGACTTCTGTCAACTCTATCCACAGTTCTATCTACAGTTCTATCCACAGTTCTATTTACAGTTCTATCCACAGTTCTATTTACAGTTCTATTCACAGTTCAGTTCTATCTACAGTTCTATCCACAGTTCTATTTACAGTTCTGTCCAGTTCTATCCACAGAATGCATACAATGTATCGGTAAACTATACCAACATATTTTTGTACAATATGCATGTGCAGGTCCACCAAACCTAAGGACAGATGTGTAACTCTGTAATAAATAATTACATGTATATGCACATCAATGAATATGCAAATTCCAACACTGTACGGCAGCCATACTCAGAAATGTATGAGTCATCATTACATGTACATGTACAGGCTTCTGCAGTAAAAAGTAAGGTCAAAGCATCATTGGAATATAAATGAAACGCAAAAGCATCACTGACTGGAAGACAGTATGAACTATCATGACTATAGGTGAACAAGCCAACTCAGATCTCTCATCGATATGAAAACAAACATGCAATTATTGTAGCACTTTTAGTTAAGAATGTTTTTTTCAACCTAATCTTTCCAAATCCAACATGGTTTAGTCACAGATGGGAACATCTTTAAATGTAAACACATGTTAAAATAGGGGCATGAGAATTCAGTATCAATACATATTGCACAAATCTACATGTAGGTCTACATTTTGATACGTTCAGATTGAAAAAGTCACTCAAAATATTTGTATTTGAGTTAAACAGAGGTGATCTTGAAGCATCTTTTGAACTGAATGGAAAAACAGATCATGCTGACTTTTCTGAATGGAACTGTCAAAAAAAGAGGAAGTGTTTTACATCTGCAAAAAAAAAACCAGTTTTCATTGATACAGATGGTCTTCTAAATAAATGAAGAAATCGACAAAAGTGTAGATCCATGTTTGAAGCCGCTGCTTTTCCTGGTGAATGAACAAAAAACACTAGGTGTCAAGACAGGGCATGCAGAAATCCATTTGGCTGAATCCATAATATAGGGTTGTGGGGAATGGGGAAGGGGTGGGGTTATAATAGGATGAGGGTGTTACTCACCTGTTGTGCGACTACAGCATCTTGTGGGTCATCAGGCTCGGGTAATGACAGTAAAGCTTGGACTGACAGCAGCACCGTACGTAGTGTCATGGCCGCAGCCCACTGATCTTTCAGGATGTCAAGGCAGATAGCCCCTGTCACTGAACTGATGTTGGGATGCCAGATCTTGGTGGTGAAAGTCACCTGAAAAGAAACAGGGGGAAAACACCTGTCATGATCCTCATTATCTCTGAATATTTGCTGTACCAGTGTGTTGCAAACTCTGAGAACTATAATGATCATTTTTATTATTATTAACATAAAACAAATTTGCTAATGAAGCTGAGTAATCCTAAAAAGCACTCTTGCTAATAAGCTGGATGAAACCTGCAGACACTGCAGATAATGAGAAGCACTTATCGTTTAGCCCTAACCTCCCAGGCCTAACCTCCCTACAAGGAACCATCCTAAATCCTCTGAAATCCTTCAATTTTCAACCTTACAAAAATTGCATTCAGCCCAAATCCTTCAATATCCTCCAAAAGTTCTTGAAAATGTCAGTTGGAGGTGTGCCCAAATCCTTCAAAATCCTGCAGAGATTCCTGTCATTATGTTGAGGCAGTGCGAATGGCACTCTTGAGCTCTACAGTTGATTCAAAAGAAATATTGGGCTGAACTTGTGCTCGACTAAGCACAAACAATATAAGGTCTAATCCACGACCTTCACATATGGCATCCTTCGAAATCCGCCATATATTTTTGCCATACACCCCGAATCCTCCAAATTCCTCCACTTTGCAGAAAAGGATTTTGGAGGATTTGGGAGGGTTAGGGTTAAAGGTGAAGAAACCTAGAAGAATATTATGGGTAAAATCAGGCCCGGACTAAAATCCAAATAGAAATGTGGACTGAGCCAGGAATTCAACTCCAAATAATCAGTTTTGTAATAGCCAAGAGCGTGAGAGTTAAACATGGTGGCTAATGAGATTAACGCACAATTTTGTCAAAGTACCTGTGGGGGGTTGAAGGGGTACGTTTCAGGGATGATGATCTTAAGGTGGAATGTCCCTCCTTCATATGGTGTGTCTCTAGGGCCTGGGATCTCCCCAGTTAGTGCTAAGTATGACTTATCATCTATCAAATCCAAGATGACATCATCTTTGATCAACTGAAAAAAAGGAGAAAAAATCTGAATTATTTGAAATACAAAAAAATTGTATTTACAAAATGCCCAAGGACATGGAAAGTTTAAAATCTTAAACTTTATTCTTAAAGTTTACTACCCAGTGAAATAAAATCCAATGAGAGAAAAAAAACACAAACAACAGAATAAAGGGTAAAACAAACACGCAATGATCTCATCAAAATAAACAATTTTTGCAAAGGAAAAGTCTTGGTCGATCAAAACAGCTCCAGCCTGTTATCTTTAGTTCACAAAATTTTGTTGATACTTTCAGATGGTCTAAAAAAAATGTGTTTTATTTCAGTAAGTTACAATTTATTAACCTGATACTGTACATTGCTCACCACGCATCCACAGGAAAAACAGAAATTTCAAACCACCACATCAAATCTGAATAGCCTGCATTCTCAAGAAAATCTGCACAGACAGTGCTAACATCTGTGACTGCCTAGCAGCATACAACATGTCAGGTCCTTAAATTTCGCCATTTACTGTGAAAACCAAACAGACTTTTCAATAGGTGGTGAAACAAAAGACCTGGCAACCAGTCACAGATTTTGGGGGTAAAAAGCAAAGGCAAAGAGCTTCATATATGGACAACAAGAATTTTCCCTTAAAATATTATAACAACCATCAGAAAGCGATAACATGTCCTAAAAAGTGGAATTTAGGTGAGAAAATTTAGATGCATTTACTTAGAAAACAGGTTTTCTCTCAGACGTCTCAAGAGTATGTGCACAGAGGCATCAAGTGTTGTCCGTAGGCCCTATATCGAACTCTTTCCAAGCAAGGTTTGAATGAATCAGTTTGGAATGGAATAAAACTTGAAAGTGGTGTATTTTTTTCCTAAATGGTTTAAATGAACTTGATAAAAATGCTATTTGCAATCATGAAACAATCCGCAAGATTAAAGCAGGTCTTCAAATGTATGCTTTAGACTGGAGCAAATGGGTAAAAGTACGAGGAGGTGGGCGTGGCAACAACAAATTTGAAATTTATGAAATGACGTCAAACAAATGGACATGGCATTCAAACATGTTCGTCATGTTCACTCCAAAGTCAAATCAGCGACCAGTCTGTCTCACTGTTGAATGGCCTGGGTGTTTAGAACCTATTACATTACCTCGGAGTCTCCCTTAACTTCTCTTAGTTCCCTCTTTATTCTGGAAGCTGCTATAGTAGCCATGAGGTAGTTGGTTTTCTGAACTATACATCTGGTCAAATGCAAACCGACCACATAAACGTCAACACCGACGTCCACTCTCCACCTTCATTTTCGTGATCTTGCGCAAAATTCCCCCAGAACATTTTTGAAACACAAGAGGGCGGGCTTCAAAATAATGAGCGACCTCGTGGAATGTTAGGTCATGCTTGTTCAAAATAAATTACTTTTAAAAATGTTATGTCGATCCTCCCAAATACTTTATTGCACCGTATGCATTTTTGATTTCTTATTTTATGTAGAAAATATTTATCTATATTCAATACTGAATACTGAATAAAACAAAATTCTTCGGAAATTATACTTTTTATATAATGAATATTCATATTGCGTATGTGATTTTCCCGCGAGCGCGCCCGCCGTCGTCGAGTCGTACTCGTGTGGCCGTTCATTTGTCAGGTTTGTGGCGCACATGTTATGATTACCGTACCGATGAATGTACGTGTATGACTGATGCATGGTTGATCAGAATCCGCGATCAAGCCCACTTGTGCTCGGAGAACAGAAGAAAATGCCGAACGTGAAAGTATTCAGTGGGTCATCCCACATCGATCTTGCCCAGAAGATTGTGGACAGATTAGGGTTGGAAGTTGGTAAAGTTGTCACCAAGAAATTCAGCAATCAAGAAACTTGGTAAGCCCTAGGCTTTGCTGCCTTTTCAATTTCACCTTTTTTCCCATGATCCCTCTTTTACTTTTTTAGGCTCAGGCACAGTGAACAATGGTGAAAACAAGACCCGAGAAGGAATTTAAAAAAAGTCAAATAAAAATGGCCAAAATAAGAAAAAATACATAATTTATTTTTCAGTAAGTTGTTGCTTATTTGTTATACATAAGAGGAAACGTGCTGATCATGCTGATGGGCTCGATCGATGTGCACAATGAATTTGCACAGCCTAATTCTGCCACCATCCAATGGCCTTTTCTTTTCACTTTGTGGTTGTTAAAGATTGTTTCAAAAAGGGAATTCAAGTTGGACATTTCATGTAAAATCAACCGATCATCTGATAGTCTGGCACTCATAGTGACAGTGCAATGCAATTTTGCCATCATGCTCAGTCTTAGACTTATTATACCCAGTTATCCCAGTACTTTTCAGGACTGTTACAGTACATAGGCCAAGGCCTACTGAAGATTTGCTGTTTTGAGCTGTACGGAATTTCTCTGCCGTCACGAGAATTTATGCCCTAAGATATAAGATTTCACATGTCCTTTCTGGATGTGGTTTGATGTCGGATGTGAAGCTTGTTTATAGCCTAAAAAGATGAAATTTGTTTGCTTACCCACACCATGCAGGTGTGCTCACTAGTCATGTTAGTTGCAAGAAAATCATTGTCAGCAGTATGACAGCTTGGCCAATTACAGAGTGGCTCCTGTCTCATTTTATTTTCCTTTCACCCTCAAATGAAAGCTGCATCTGAGGGCGGAAGGAAAATTTTAAAAAATGGTGTTGTGCCTCTGTTCTATGTAAAGTATTAACCAGCCACAATAAAATCTTCTTTCAGCGTTGAGATCGGTGAAAGTGTGCGCGGTGAAGATGTTTACATTGTACAGAGTGGATGCGGAGACATCAATGATAACTTGATGGAGCTGCTGATCATGATCAATGCCTGCAAGATTGCATCTGCCTCTCGGGTCACAGCTGTCATTCCTTGTTTCCCATATGCTAGACAAGACAAGAAAGACAAGGTCAGCCTAACACGAGCAGTATGGGTGTACATAACACTGTCAGTGTAAAACTGCCAGTGTACATGGTGTATACATGACTTTTACATTTACTTTTTATAAAATACAAATATGGGTAATAGTGTGTGCCTTTCAGTACCTTACAGACTTGCTTTTTATGCCAAAAGAATGTTGTATAACTATTGGTCATTTGCTGCTTGCCAGAAACAGATCAGTTTTACGGCCTATTTTTTGTGGCTTTGAGGAGACAAGCCTGGTTCACCTCATCCCTGTTGAGTGATCACCAACGGTCAGTGTTTTACTGATCAGGTGACCATTCTGTCTCCTTCCTGATTGGTCAGGACAGCCACAGATCAATCAGTGCGGCCATAGTACTGGACAGAGCATCCTCAGTACTCTATCCAGCCTCCAGCTTGTCCAACAGTTTAACAGAAATTCGAAAGTATATGTCTGTTTTGAGAGTTTTCAAACCACATTTTATCTGCAAAGCAAAGGGTAGAAAAGAATTAATTTAAGTTCATGCATGAGGCCCAAAACCAATTCAGTAGGGTGGATAAATGCATTAACATCAAAACATTTTGCTCAGAGACACTAACTCCTTGTTGGGTATGGTTCTACTGGTAGTAGATCATAACAGTTCAAAAAGGAAGTCAAGTGGGAACAACAGATCTGAAACTCCACAGGAATGCATACATAGAAAACAAAGCATGATGTCATCAGTGCATGGCTCAATTGACTGCAAGATGCTAGCACAAAGGTTGTTGCGCACCTTTGCTGAATCGTCTTTTCCCTCTGTTACAGAGCCGTGCCCCCATCTCGGCCAAGCTGGTTGCTAACATGTTGTCTGTCGCTGGAGCAGATCACATCATCACCATGGACCTCCATGCATCACAGATACAGGTACATGACAAAAGAAACGTCTGCTGTAAGAATATAAGAAACTGGGTGTCATTTCTGTGACAGTATTAGTCTTGGTTAGTCGAGATTAAAATCCACATTATCTTGTAGGGATCTGCTTTGAACAGTCTACCCAGTTGCTTAATACATGCTTGATGGTTGTTTTCACCCTTACAATACAATCACGTGCAGGGATTCTTTGACATTCCTGTGGACAACCTGTACGCTGAGCCGGCTGTGCTGAAGTGGATCAAGGACAATATTCAGAACTGGGAGAATTCCATCATTGTCTCACCAGATGCTGGGGGTGCAAAGAGGTAAATTTTCTCAAATTTACCAGTTTTTTTGCTGTGGTCCAAAGTGATCAGCACTCATGGTTACTCGACAAACTCGTTCCAGGAAACAAGTTCATCTCCTGTATTTGTTTTGCAGGGTCACGTCTATTGCAGATCGACTAAATGTAGAATTTGCCCTGATCCACAAAGAGCGCAAGAAAGCGAATGAGGTGGCCTCGATGGTGTTGGTTGGTGATGTGAAGGACCGTGTAGCAATCCTTGTAGACGACATGGCAGATACATGTGGGACAGTCTGTGAAGCCGCCAACAAGTAAACAGCTTGTTTAGTATTCATGCCATTTACAAATCAAATTACTTTTTGACAATTCTGCCCGTAGCCTGCAAAGTTTGTGTACAGTGACTTTACAGTGGTTCCAAGATCATTAACACCTGCACAAAACACTGTAAGCCTTCCAGATAGTTGACCTACAAGAGCAGCTTCCCTTCTCATAAATGTTAAGAGTCGTACAAGAAACTTGATGATGGCAGTATGAACTTTGCAGTAGTTGCCCATCTGCATAGAAAAGATCTTGCCTATAAGTTAATGGCCTCGCCTACTTCCTGAATATTTCAAGTGGGTGTATCGATTGAAAGAATTCGAGTCTAGTATGGTTCCTAGTTCTTCTATCTTCTGTACAGGCTGAGAGACGCTGGGGCCCTCAAGATCTACGCCATCTTGACTCATGGCATCTTCTCAGGGCCGGCCATCTCCCGCATCAACAATGCCTGCTTTGAGCAGATTGTGGTGACCAATACCATCCCTCAGGAGAATAACATGAAGCAGTGCAGTAAGATCACAGTGAGTAATTACATTGTGCTTCTGTCGTGCTGGAGTTGAACAGTGCCCTCAATTGTATACATAGAGCAGTGTTGCCTCATCAATTCTGCATATAAGGGGGGAAAATACAATCATATTTTAAATTTGATTGGCAATGACGTGTACAAGTATTTTATATATGTCATAGCAAATTGTAAACAAATAAAATGAGCCATTTTCACTCTTAATGCATGACTACACGTCCCTAAATATATTGTATTAGCAATCAAGGCACATCATCTCAGGAACCTCTCCTGAATGGGCCTTTTAACATTCCAAAAACCATTTCAGCTCCCTTAGATATACACAACATCCGACAGATCACCCAGAATTCATTTCATTCAGGAGGGGTTGGAATAAAAGCACACACTTGTGTCCTAACGATGCCTATACCACAATAGGAATGTGCCTAGATTTTTGTTACAAACCTTTTCCCAATCTAATCTTGCCTCTGCAGGTAATCGATATTTCCATGATGTTGGCCGAAGCGATCAGGAGAACACACAACGGGGAATCGGTGTCCTATCTCTTCAGCCATGTGCCCCTCTGAACTACTTGTGGAAATCTTCTGTCAAACTGTTACGCCACTTGTTTTCTTCACGGCATTGCATGCCCTGCAGTCCACTTGTTAATATTACCATAGGGTTGTCAAAAGCTGCACGTTGCCAGTATTGTTGCCGTTGGATTTTTGATGCACTGTCAGAAGTTTGATGAAGGGGTTCAGAAAAAGTAAAAACTGATGGAAGATCTGACCCATATTGAGAGGCAGGTTGTATCAGCCAAGTAGACAGATTTAGTCAAGTAGACGAATCTGTTTTAAGGATGTATTTTTTGTGTTAAAAAATCCATTTTGCACCACCCCCATGACCCAAAACCAGATTTGCACATGCAAAGAGACTCGGAGAAGAGTGTTTTTCCATTTTGGATAAGTCTTCTCTTGGCTGACACTTTGTATTTATCACACCTAAATAGGTTATGTATGATGAATCATTTTTACTTTGATTACTTTGTCACTTTCTTCTTGCATTGAGACATTGAGTACTGACTGTTCTGCTTTGAAGCTGTGTGTTTTTTTGTTCTTTGGGTTTTTTTTTCATTTAATTCAGGATTAATGTAATAACAGACTGGCAGATGTGACTCTATTCCATTTTGAAGGTAATACATATGTGATAGGGCAATCTGAAACATTTGTTTGAGACTGGATGAGGAGAATGAACACTGATAATGCCCAAGCAGAAGCCAAGAGACTACATCAGCATCCATTCTCCTGAGATGGTCTTAAACATACAGTTAAGACTGCCCAAGCACATTTATTTCCTTTCATAAATATCTTTGTCACAAAGTCAAAACCAGTTTTACAAAATCATAAATTTGCAATGATTTTGTCACCAGTGTTACTTCAATTTGTTTTCAAACACACCTCTATGCTCTAGCTACATTCTGGCAGGTTCCCGTAGTGACTTGTCATAATCTCCTCGTATGGAGATTGGCACACATTGCGCACTTTGTATGAAGTGGTGCACAGCCAGCTGGCATTTTCTCAACTTTGAAAGATCAGCCATGTGACAGGCTCTCAACCACTGGGAATGGCGAAACTATTTTGGTGTTTATGAATGTTGCTTTGAGCAAAGTTGAATAAATTTAGTCTTCACACTCTCAGTAGTACCACAGTAAGACATGTTTGTTTCATGGGAATCAAACTACATTTGAACTATGTCAATTTGGGTAAAAATTACATTTGATAAGCCATGATATATAATGGTTTGTCTTGAAATGAAGTGTAGATGTTGTATTGGTATGGAAATGAGCAGGGTCAGTTGAATTAGGCATTTTGGGATCTGAAATGAAGATAAGATTAACCTATAAATTCTGCAAAAGCCTGTATATGTTGCTGAGTTCTGATGAATTTCAAGAGCGTGCAACTCTGGCATTCATACTTCATTCATTGTATATATTATCAAGTCAAAAAAATTACAAGCTGTGATTCAATGCACTTTTCACTTTTAACCAGCCCGATTGAAGTTATTTCTGGGCATTTTCAGGACAAATATTACTACATGTACATATACATGTAGTCCATGAACATCAAATTAATCATTTGACACTGAATGACATGTAAACACACATGATGTCCCTTACTTGTTCCACGGAGAACGTGTTCACTCGTTTGAGAATTCTGTTGTCATTTCTGCAGTTAATGTATTAACATGTTAAGCTTGGTTGGGTTGATGTGCAATTGCAAGGTTGAATTTATGGGTAAAACAACTGGCCCCAGCAGCTTTTTCAGGTGAGAAAATCCCACGTTAACCTTTTATCTTGGAAGTTATTCCGATTTAATTTAGTAAAAAGTTTGCCTTTATTCATGGTGTACGTTACGCATATACTTTTTCTGTGAAATAGTCATCAGGATATTTGTTCCAGTTCTAATTAATCAGGTGGTATTTTGAAATTGGACTTTGTTTTTCACAATAGATTCACTGATGGATAGAATTCCGTTGAATTCACTTTGTTACAATCAACCAATTATGTGCTTGTTTAATGATGTACAAATCCCAGTTAAATAAATTTGTCCCAAAATGAGTGAATGACTTTAATGTGAACTTATTTAAATATTTAAATTTATGGTTCTTGTGTAATCTTAACATAGTGCTTCATGTCCAGTTTCATTTTAATCAGTATCTTACTGATTCAATGTTTTGAAAAAACGAAGTTTACATCTCTCCAAGAAAAGATCTTGTATTTTGGATCAAATGTAAGTAAATTTTCACACAAGAAAAAGTAATGAAACACTGAAGTATGGTAAAACTACATGTATAGACAACTTTATTTTGTAAAAATGGGTAAAAACTAAAAAATGTTTTCTTACCACAAAACAGGTGACATACTTGATACCTCATGTCGGCTGCACGCGTAACCAGAACTTAATTATTCCAAAAACACCTTATCATGAAAACTGACTTCACATAAAAGCCGCTGCAGTGATATTGGACAGTTTTCCTGCATATGAAATCTCAGCGGGTTATCAACCTCCATTTTCCAAACTTCTCACACTTTTGCCACCTCCCCGCTCTGTCTTTTGTGATTCCTTTTTCTTTGAACAGAACAATCTACACCAAGGAAAAGGCACAAAATGAGTTTCCATTTTCTGAAACTGTATGAGTCTACAAAAACCAATAAGACAAAGTACTTGTTAGAGGAATCGAAATACAGAAACACATGTATGTCATTACATCAAGTTCACTTATACCTTTCTTGCATAGTCAGAGTAAATACCCATACAAAATTTGGCATGTTTGCATGTCTATTCATGAATGCTCTCCAAATGAACAAGTCAACTCAAGATATTTCTCTCTTAGCTTTTAAAATATTGTGAGAGTTAGTACAAAAAATACTGTTTTACAAAAATGCAGTCATTGATAGAAAATATTTCAAAACTTGAGGTGGGTTCTATAATACATCAGCAACATTGTGCACCCTACGAACATAGATTTGGAGGTTCTCGCTGAGCACCAATTAATAAATACGTCTACAAAACTTAAGTACTTTCCAACTATCTACATGATTAGATACACCCACAATAAAAAATACTCATTACTGAGTTAATGAACACGGAACTGTAAATAGAATAACAGCAAACTAGATGTCTGAAAATGCTTTTGTTTTCCTTCGTGAAATAAAATGAAGGATTGGAAACAATTTTTTTAAGGAGAGTATTCAATACACAGGAGTGTTGTGTCCCTGACAAAAAGGAAGTCAGTGTACAAGCGGCTCATTTTAAAGTGTGAACATACTTCCAATAAATACTCCTACATAATTAGCACCAATGGTATATTATTCAGCAGGCAGTAGCATGTACATTGTTCAGATTGTCATGAGATACCGAGGGCTGGTAGGCTGGATTTAGAAGACACAGGCTTGGGCATCCAGTCGGTCTTCATCAGGAACTGTGGACAGATCTTTGGGACATTCTGAGAACAACAAAAGACAGCAGTCTTGTAGTGTATTCAATAGATTCTTGTGCAATGTGGGTTAAACTAGTTCCATCAATGAGTGTTGCTGTCCTCGTAGTTGGGTGTGGTTTGCTCAAGGATGGATCCAGAACCAACTTTTTTGGGGAGGGGAGGCAGCAAACTTTTCTTTTTAGGATGGGGGCCACAAATTTGCGTTTTTTTTTCATGCAACCTCCCTTCCCTTTTTGAGGAGTGCACACAGTGGTCCATTCGGGGCTTTTATACTATTTCAAGGAAGGGAAATGAAAAAAAAACAAAATTGCCTTTGCCTTTCTGGGGAGGTGGGTGAAGGAATGGCTCCTGCTGGCCCCTCTGGATCTGTCCTTGGGTTTGCTTAACTTGCAATAGTTGACTAAAGGTGGATACATGTAATCCTGCCTATAAAACAACTTTATGTATGTGCTGGGTATGGTATACAAACATGACTTTGAAACAGAATTTCTCAGCACATTATGTGCTGCAAATGACGAATAGGTGTCAAAGCAGACTTCTCATTACCTTAACCTCCAAGGGTTGCTGGCCCTAACCTTCCCCATTCACCCAAAGTTAAACACCCATATGGGACTTTGTGCACAGAGGCTGTTGGACTTTGTTTTTCTGAGGTATGCCAAACCCAATGCAAAAGCCAGCTGTTATGGGCCAACCAGACCTATCCCTGCAGAATTAAACACTTTACTACTGTTTAATTCTGTGTGGTTGGGGAAGGTTAGGGTTAAAACCAAGTTGGTAGAAAACTAGAACTCCAGCAGCTCATCATATCCTTTCAGCCCATGATTCTTGTCAATTCCCCAAAGCATTTCTCAATGATGGGCCAATGAACCAAATGTGGACTCACTTTTCTCACAGCGATGGCCATAGAAGCCAGTGCCTTCACACTTGCAAAGGTACACATTGTTCTTGGTCTGTACACACTGGCCCTTGTTCTCACAGTCATTCTTGCGGCAGGTGTCTCCTGCAACAGTGAAGAGACATACTACATGACACTATGACAGTTTATATCACCAGTGCGGCTGATCAGTCACAAAATAGCTGGAGAAGAAAGTACAACCTTTTGTGATAGTGCCATATTTGTGAAGCCTGATTTTAAATGGTCTTTTCTTTCTTTAAATGCAGAGAATTCCCATCAAAGTTCAAAAGGAACATGGGAGTGAGGTAACAGATATGGTAGACAAAGTTCCGGTCTGAACTATGCCTATCCAAAATTGATGTAGGCAACAAGAGTGATAGGCCATGTCTGAATCACTTGGCTATGGCTTGAAATTACACAATTCAATGGGAACTGAATGTGGCCACTACCATAGACTTGTGTAATTTCAGGCCCCACCCAAGTAATTGGGACACGACCATAAACTTTTCAATTATTACAGTAGTTGAAATCTGAGCATGATATTTTGACATACATAGATTAGGTTTTCCACTGAAAAAATATCAACATTTCAAATATTATATTGCCTGTAAAATGAAATGTAATTTCGCTAAGGAGAATTCCTCTACACTTGGCTTTGGTCTTCCATGGCAACCCCAACAGTGTAAAAAATTAGTCCATTATCCTTGGGCCAACTGAACACAAAGCACAACCCTGTGAACATGACTAGAGGCCAAACTGTACTTTCTGCTGTCATCACAGAGGTCAAGTTGATTTGGACAGCACATTTTGTATATTTTCCTCACTGTCTGGCAAACCCAGACAGGAAACCCAACCCGGTTACATGTTCTACAGAGCCTGCTAATTTATATATTTAGTTTATTAAGTGCTGTATGAGATGAGACACCTGCAACCCTTACCCATTTACAAACTGCAAAGTTGTATTAACATGCAAACATGTAGTATGAGCAATCAACCAGTAATATGCACAAGGTGTTACTGCTGTGATATCAACATGTGCAAACAATATTTCACACAAGTGTTACTACATGTATTATTAAACAAAATAATTGAGGATGTTCAAACATGAAATTTTTCCCAGCCATGATAATTGATATTGCATGAATATTTTACTTTAATTTTTGTTGGGAGTGAGGAGGGCATGCACTACCAATAATATTCCCCATCCCCCAAACAAGCCTTGGAAGTATAAGTTCAATCAAGTGCCACAGAGGGACAAGTAAACCAGACACACTGCATAAAAAAGCAGTTTGAGAATCCATTCAATGACTGTGACATCAGTATGATTACATTAGATGTAAGACAAAAGAATTCCTTTTCAGTTAAAAAATTCACACTTTCTATACAAAAAAACGAGCAGTAGTATTAGTCTAACTGCAGTCCAACTAAAGCAAAATGCCTAGATTTCAGTCCTGCTTTTTACAGGATTTGTTGTTCAGCAGCGTGTATGAGCCATGACAATAAGTCCAGCCAAGCTGAAAAGTTTGTTTCCTGTACCCCTACTGGAGCATTGTCCCTGGACTGGCCTTTACACGTATATAGCATGGTCCAGCCCGCTCCATTGTTACAGTGTGTACCGTAACAAAGGATGCATGGCAGTGCTACAACATGTACTTCTATTATTGACTACTGGAGGATATTTTTGACTAAACTGTTCGTCTTCAAATAAGAATAATAAAAAAACACACTCCTTTACTGTTTTAAATACCACATCCTGTAGCAAGATAAGTGCCAGTTACAGGATTGGTAATTGCAACCAACACAAAAGTTGCAATGGAAAGCCTTGCCATAGCTCCATTGGCATCACTGCTACTAAGCGTTGTGCGCTTGCATTTTCCATCAAATTCAATTCCATCAAATACTACACAAAACCAGGATTTAGCTTCTGGAATTCTTGCGCCGGTTTGGGATGACAAGCCAGAACAAGCCTTCATGGGTAAACCACAGACTTAGCGTCTTAACCCTACTGCTTTAAATGCAATCCAAATCCTATCATCAATCATGTCTCACCAAAGAGGGCTCTTTGGCATCGCTTGTCACTTCGGTAGTCAAAAGGGTTGTGACATGCCATCTTGGTGGAGCAAACACACTGCTTGTCAATCTGATCACATCCATAGAACTCCTTCTCCACACAGTCACTGCTGACAACTGGCAAATGAAAATACCAATTACTAGACGTGAGCTGGGTTTCAAACCAAACCTACATGAAAAATACAAACATAACAATGAAATTTCTGGTCAAGCTGGAAACTTTGCATGGGTTGTTATGAAACAACGCTGCTTTTCAAATGCCATGTTTAGATTTCACATGAAGTGAACGCAAGCAAGCACCCATTTCTATTTGAAGTGTAAATCAGAAACTACAGTGCCCTGTTGCAAATTACAACCAAATTTTACGGTGACACTTGACGCTTTCATATTATGTCAAAGAAACTCCTCCAGGAATCACTACAAATTAATTACCCATTCCAACATCATCTTTTAAAAAATGTTTTGTACCACACTGCATGAGACTCAAATAAAATAACTAAAATGACAGGTGTATGGTAAAAGTATAAAACTTCAACATGCACATGAATTTACCCCAAAGGTCGTTCCAGTAAATGGCTACACTGTTTTATGATACCCAGGATGCAAGAAAACTGTTTACAGTATTGTTCTCAACACCTGCAGTAAATTTACCAAAAGGTCAAGCAGGCAGCCATACTGGGTACACTCCCTGTCGGTTGGGGGGAGGACTTTATGTTCTACACAGGATGGCATCCAGCCAGCTACAAGGCCCACAAGGTCAGTGGCATGCCATCTGTAATATACACCCTTCAAGTCACATCCACATTCCACAAATTTGAGGTCTCCAATGTACATGTGCAAACAGGAATTTTATTTCAACAGCTGTTTATACTGATCATGTGTAAATTATGTCCAATCCTTTTTTACACAAATTTTAGTGTACATCTGAAAATATGCAATATATTTACAAAGAAGGAAGGCCTATACATGTACACTTACTTTTGTTTTGTTTTTTTTTAACATCAGTACCTGTACATCACCTTTCACCTGCAGAGCCAGGCTGATCTTAATTTTGGATTAGAGCAAGACCTTTGATAGTCCCCCACCAAGGTCTCTTAGCAAAACTCTATCATGTCAGAAGCTGAAATAAGATCCTCTCTTGGATGGACGATTTCCTTACCAAATATCATCAGAGATGGTGGTGATTGACACTGAATCATCAGAAACACCATCCATGGTTTGAGGGGTTCCCAAGGGAACAGTGTCAGGGACCTTACTTTTTTGTCAATAAATGATTTAAATGCGAGCCTTTCATCAAGCATG